GAGGGGAGGGGGAGAAGAAGAAGAAGGGATATCAAGACGAGCAATGGAAGGCGGAGCACTAGCAAACGGAGGAGGTGGAGGCGGCGGCGGCGGCGGCACTACAGTTGAGGATGGCACCGACGATGGAAGTAGGTTCGCAGCATGTGTTGATTTTGCACTTTCTACTAATTCCATTGTCGAGGAAACGGTCGGCGCATGCTTCGGCCTCGCTGGTGGTGGGGGAGGGGGAGCCACTTGTCGTTTGAAGTCGGTCTCTGTAATGAACTTCGGCTTCTCTGCTAGCTGAGCCTTCAGGATTTCGATCTGTGCTTGAAGGTCCGCTATTTGTTCGTCCTTTTGACTTAGACTATTGATAGCGCGGGTCGCCATCACCTCAGCATCGAGTTCAGATTCACGATTATCTTCCCGTGAGCGGAAGCGAGAATAAACAGACTCCAAGGCACGCTTCAAGTAGATGATCTCCTTGTCCTTGCTAGCAATAGATGCTTCATAGTCGCCATGCTAGGGAACTGTGAGTCCGTGATCACCTCGGATATCGACAGTGCTTACCTGCACCTTCAGTTTGGTAATCTCCTCCATCAGCGTATTCCACTTCACCCGATCACGCTCACGCTTGGCACGATCATCCTGTTCGTTCATAATGTCAGGTGCTGTCTACCAGTTGTAGTCATTGTATTCTTACAGGTTCTTTTCCCTCAGCAGGATTCGACGCTTTCAGTCGGTCAAGTTCCGTCTGTAATTGCAAAACATGCTTCTCCTTTTGCACAAGCCGTTGCACGAGGCCGTGGAAGCTCTGATTTGACTGAGGTACTGTAAGCGCGACATCTACCGTGGATAAAATCGCCATACCTCTGAACCACCCCTTCCAGCACCTCTCCCGTTTACGGTAGGAGGTTGAGAACCAATAGATCGCAAAGTATTGAGCTCTGCAGTCTGTTGCTCGAATTGGCTCTGGAGAGCGGTCCGCTAGACGACAAAAAAATTAAGCTTCAGTGGTGGAGATTCCGCGACGTAGGTCTACCTCTCCGCTCAACTCGTCGACTTTATTGCGAAGGATGTCGAGCTCTTCTGACACGATGGATCCATGGCCATCCAGAGTAGCCTGGACTTCAAGTTCTTGCCCAGTGATGTGCCGTACAGAAGCCGCAAATCGGTTCAAGAGGGGTAACCAACTATCTCCACTAGAGAACACGTCAAACAGAAGCACAATGTTGAGCGTAAAATACATACAAATCCTGGATATCGACAGCTTCCTGTATGAACAAGTTGATGATGTCGAGAATTTCCGCCCTTAGCTGACTGCGACAACAGTTAAAATTGGTCCAATTGAGAAAAGGTCTCGTCAAACCTATCGATTTCGCTCCGGAAGACCCTCGATAAGCGCGATATGATCTCTACAAGGGTAGGGTAAAGCATCTCATGTTCACCAGCGAGATGCAGGAGCTCCTCCAGCACGGGTTCAGAATGTTGTTGCGCGCCTTCCCGATCGACGAGGTTCCGTGCCCGCTCGCGCATGTCCTCCTCATCTTCGAACTTCTCTTCAGTGTACACATCGAGTTGAGTAACTAAAGATTCTGGCGGTTTGATGTAGCGTAACGTCTGCGAGGGCCTTGATAAGCCAGGCCCATAAACCGAAAAGCTAGACTACATACGACGATGACTTCGTTCAAACCACGCCGGCCAAACTCTTCTCGGAGTAAGATCCGTTCCTCGAGCGCAGCCGGACAGTTTGTTAGGGCATTGATGAGCGCCATTGATGCGGTTCGGGCCTCCCAGACGCCCTCTTCATCGTTGCTATATCCAAACTCTCCTACGGTGACGCCGTCGTCTGTGACCTCAGGGAGCTGGAGCGAGGCGATGAGTTCTTGAAAGCGAAATGGCTCCTCGAACTCGACGCGATAGTCAGACAAAGCGGATAGCACCGCTTTATGCCCTTCTCTGAGTGAGAGAACGCAAATGGCTGCAAGAACCTCTGACGTAAGTATTCGTAATTTAACGGACGATCCATGGAGAGAATATGCGATGTGAGTAATGAGTGTAGGCGCTGAAAGGACTTCGCTAAACCCGGGCTGTCATTGCGTGAGACGACCGACATCAACAGACAGTGAGCGACTTACCTCCGTATTTAAGAGCACTCTGAGGCACTTGATAACTTCCAGCAAGACAGTGTCCTCGATGTCAGTTAGCTTCTTCCTCTTGCCGCCTTTGCCCACTAGGGTCGAGAGCAATTTGCTAAGCGCGCCCATCCCCTTCTCCACATCCATGAAATCTTCTATCCACACCAGGTTTGTAGTCGACAGATGGACTCGCAGCGCGATGAGATGCTTCACGAGCTTAGAGTCCGTCGACCTCCCGTTGCGGATGCCGTCAGCGAACCACTTAGCAGTCTTCTCTACTTGTTTCGGTGCGCCTGACGCCAAGCTTTTTTCGCCGCCCGAGGACGACCACCAGCTGCTCCAGAGGCCACCTGTGCTCTGTGGCTGGACGACAGGAGTCGACGGCTCCGTCGGCTTATCCAAGGGCGGGTTGGCTGAAACGACAGAATCCCTCCTCCTGGTATCGTATTCACCGCTATTGCGACTCGCCTCCACGATGCTTGCCGTGGGTGAAGATGTACCGCTCCCCCATCCAGCGATCGAGAATCGCTTCATAATCCCCGAGTCACCAGTCAGCTGCGGGACTAAGCGGGGCAACAAACCTGCGGCACTTGTAGGGCCGTACGTGGATGGCTGTGTGGCATGGCCAAGCTTACTGCGAGTGGCAGTCGCCTTATATAACATTGATGCGCGAACTTCCTTGTTGTTTTGGAGGAGGTATCGCTTCTGCTCGGGTGGCAGGCGATACATAGCGTCGCGGCTGGAAGCCTTGAGCCCTAGCTCGTCCTAGTCGAGCATCAGTCTCCATGATACCAGATTTGAAACAGGTACACACAAGCATCTCCTCAAATTCGCCAGGGTCGACATCGTTCGCACCTGCATCTCCTTCGGTCGGTACGCCTGTGGATCCGAGGTCGCGGCTAGTGCGGTCCATTAGACGGGGATCGCTGACAACTTTCCTCTCAACCGGAATTGCCGTAGTTTCGGCGGTCGGGCTTGTGGGACGTATCCAGCTTTCAAACATACTAGAAAACCTATTCTGCGATATTGAGCTTCGCCAATCCGTCGGAGCACTGAACCCAGAAGTAGGAGTGCGAAGATCTGGCTCTGAGCCGGAATCAGCCTTTTGCTTCGCTGTACCTCCGGATTCTCCACTCTCTTCCTCTTCCTCCATATCTGCAAGACGTCTAATTGTGTCCTCTGAAGGTTCCGTGGAGGTCGTAGAAACGGACCGAGACTTCGATCGGCGATACCATTCGTCAGGGACGCAGAACCTGAATGTGTGCGCTACTGATGACGCTGAGGGCGGGAAAGGGTTACGGTCGGAGGAACACTCAATGAGGCTGGATAGTGTGCTAGCAGAAGACAACCGGGACGACTCTGACAACATCTATAAGCTCTCGAAGTGAACACGCAGGGGGGCGGCTCACTTTCGGCGTCATCGAATGTCCATACTTCTTCCAGTACATACTCCAAGATCCCGCCGCCAGGAACAGGCAGGGATTTCGTGAGACCAAGCTCTGTGATGATCGCGTCGAGCGCATCGCGGACAGTGGTGGATCTGGAGATGAAAGACTTCCATTGGAATCCGTCATGGATCTCAGGGACACGTAGGAATGTGCATGTTAGTACAAGGAACGGATGTAATGAAACCAAACGGAGCACAGGCACATGTAGATGCGACGTGAGCGGAAATGCTGAGAAATGCCTCTCCGAGCTAGCAGAGGCAGATGGGGAGTTGAGCAGCGGAGCTACGCGTGTGGATGGTGGCAGGATACCTGCATAATTTAGCTATGCTTCAGTCATTAAAGCTGCATGATTTGAGAGGCCGTACCATTTCCAAGCTCTTCTAACTCCTCTTCCTCCCACTGACGACCATTGGGTTCTTTCCGTACGCGTTGCAAGGCCCAACCATATTGTTCCAAGTCCCCCAAGATCTCCGACGCCACCTCCTGCTGCAAGAGCAGAGAATCTATGACATCCTGAGTAGTCCCAGTAGACTGAATAGTGGCGAAGTGCAGAGTCCCGGAGGCGAGAAGCGTAGGCACGATCAATGGGCCATCCGCCATGCCGAGATACGACGCAGTCCTCAGACTCAGGCCCAGATTACTGAGAGTGTCTTATGCGCCTCTGTTGAGATAGCTGCAGAGCGAGTCTGAAGAGCTTCCAAGTCGAGCAGGTCTAGTAACGAGGCATCGGCATTGAGCCCCGCCTGAAACTGTAGAAGGGTACTAGTAAGTGACCTGTATTCAAGTAAACGCGGTCCTTTAAAGTCACGCTGCGGCATGCAGCATACACGAGAAAGCGGCCAAGAGCACGACCTGCAGGTAATACACGGCTGAAGTGCTTCGCGCCATTACACGCGCGCGTGACCCGTTATGACCGTCGTAGCTTAACTACCTTTATTAGTCGATTATGGATCTGAGGTCTCATTTCCAGCGCCACGGTCTATTCAGTAGCTAGACTTACGACATAGACTGGAAGCACAACGATGCCAGGATACAATACATATATGATGCAGAGATAGCCTACTACTAGGCCCGACTTTCGAAAGCGAGAATACCAAGGAACGACGACCCCACGTGCAATATAACTCAAACCGAAATAAACGTATTACGGTAATCACGCTTTATGGTACAGACGAAGACCCTTCCGTGTCCACAGAAGGATGAACCATGTAATAGACGCGGAAGTTCCCGTCTTGACTGTCCATCGAAGGCTGGCCGCTGCTCTCCTCCATAGATTCAGGCAGTGAATCTTGCACATCACCCCTGATCTCGATCAAGTAGTTATCCTGCGGGTATAGTGTTACTACCAGATGTTTCGAATGAGGATGATAGAATAATTCGCACCTTGACCAGCTTGCGCAACATCTTGGTGATAAGCTCCTTCTCGTACTCGAGCTCTTCCACATCCTGGATGTCCTCCTCCTTCGTCTCAAGGTACCAGTCGATGAGCTCGTCCCGGTCGACCCCCTTACCAGTCTCTCGTTCGACTTGAGCTAGATGGAAGACGATCAGACTTTGTAGCGTCATGTACTTGTCGTGGGTGATGACCATCCGCCTCTTGGGCTGAGGTGGCGGGGGCGCATTGGGAGCCATGCTGCCCGCTCTTGATATACCATCGGATGTTGCACCGTTGAGGCCACTGGAACCAGCGCCATTGAGGCCCATGGATTCGTTATAGCTTTGCTCGGCCTCGTCCATGGCTGCGATTTCAGCTGCAGACATCTCGACGTCTTGGCTCTCCTCCACATCATCTGCAGTCGCGCGTGGACGTCGTTCGCCTTCTCGTTCGCCCTCAAGCTCCTCCTCATCGAAGTCGATGTCATCCTGCTCCACATGGATGATGGACTGTCGCAAAAGCGTATACGCTTCTCGTACGAACGCTGGTTTGATCTTTGATGTCCGTGAGCACTAGCAAGGGACAAACAAAAGCGAGTTTAGAAGTTCACCTCCGATGTGCAATTCGCCCTAGCGATTGCTTCGCTCAACCGGATCATACTCTCTAGCTGACGGACAGTAATCCTGTAAGAATTGCGGCCGGTACCCGAAGCGTCATCTTGTCGTAGGATGCGGTATTTTTCCACCAGGACGTCCGCTGCCTCCGGAGTAAGCTGCCAATAATATGCATTCATTAGTTTCTCGACCCATCCTGGAAATGCACGAACATGCCTTAGGAGTGAACGTGCGAGCGTAACGGATATATCGCTGCAGCGCCTCTGTACTGAACTCCGGGTGAATGGCTTCGTCCTGGAACCGATGGACATTGACGATATGCTTTGCAATGTTGAGGTCGGACTTCTCGTTGCACTCGTCCAACACCACAAAGAACAGATCAAATCGACTCATAATTGGAGCCGTCATCGCAACGTTGGCTCGCAGTGACTTTTTGCGATCGTATCGGCCACCGATTGGGTTCGCTGCAGCAAGGATAGACGTCCGTGCGTTGAGCGTCGCGTGGATACCAGCCTTCGCGATGGATATGGTCTGTTGTTCCATAGCTTCATGGATAGCGACTTGGTCCGAAATGTCCATCTTGTCGAATTCATCGATGGCACAAATACCGTTATCCGCCAGCATGAGGGCACCGGCTTCAATGGTGAAGTCTCCCGTCTCCTCGTCCTTAACGACTGCGGCCGTCAGACCCGCTGCAGAAGATGCCTTGCCCGATGTATATACGGCTCGTGGAAGGAAGGAACAGATATATCTGTCGTTCAAGTCTGTCACAAGATGCTGGGACGCGAGACAACAGTTCACTTACTTGAGAAATTGTGATTTTGAGGTTGAAGGGTCGCCAACAATGCAAATATTGATGTCGCCTCGTAGGTGCATGCCTTCCGGAGTCTGTTTGTGTACTCCACCCATCAACTGCAGCAATAAGCCCTTCTTCACAATGTCGTGACCGTAGACGGTCGGCGCTATACTCTCCACCAGTCGTGAGTAGATGTGGTCGGAATTCACCATGCGCTTGAGTTCTTCAAATTCTGGTTCCGTCAAGGATCGGGCGAATGCCTCACTGTCGTCTTCGCCCTGCTCATCCTCTCCCCGCACATTGGTCCCAGCCTGCAAAACTATATTCAATTTCGACTATAAATGGCGGACACATGTGGTTACTAACGTGACCATCCACGTCGTGGACCATGCACGCCAAGAATGCTGTCTTGTATTGCAGATCCCGGACACCGAGACTCTTCAGACCAGTAACACCTGCACCACCGACAGCCGCTGCGGCAGAATTTGCACCAGCCTTTGCAGCCTCTCGCATTAACTCCGCTTTGTTGCCTCCGGGAAGGCCGAGCTGGCTGACGTCTGGCACCACGATGAAAGTTCCAGTGAAAACGCATTTGTCTCCAGCTTTAGCGCGTTCAACTAGCTCTGAGCGGAGAATCACGTCGAGAGATCGAGGCATAGAGCCGGTGGGTATCTCGGAGGGGTTCTCCTGTATCCGGACCTTCTGCCAATCCGTAAATTTTGAACTGTCGATCTGCAACTGCCATGCCGTACGATTACCGCAAGTTGGGTTGGGGCACAAACTCGGCTAAGATATGATGTCAGTTTGACCACCTGATATTACAGGAAATGAAGCGCTCACCTCAGTATACTTGAACTGCTGTTCGATCTCGTTGACTAGGCCTCCACAGACCTCACAGATGAAGCTTCCATACAGTAGCTCAGGCCGTACCTCGCTGGTACGAGTAACTGTTCCGCTTATACTCATCAGTGTACCAATTTTGTCTGTTCTCAGATCGCGAATCCCCGAGACCAGTGGAAGATGGTAGAACGCGACGTTGAACTCGCGAGATTGCAAGTTCACAGAATCTGTGGCTGCAGCGGTGGGATTCAGCTTGAGATATTCCGGTTCGTACTGAGCGACAAGGTTGTGAAGAGCACGTCGAATGTAAGGCAGAAAGCGGTAGTATTGTTTTTGAATCGCGTCAGCGAGGACGTCATCCTTTTGCAGCAGATGTCCGTAGTCGACATAAAGAGTAGTGAGCTCGTATTCACGCATTGTGTGAATCTGTTCGATGTAGATGAGTTCGCCGTCAGGCGCAACGGGGACGCCGCCATCTGAAGCTGGAGTCGATGCAAGGGCAATCTCTTCTGTAAAGCTAGCAGCGGGATTTGTGACAGCCCTGTATTCTTCGCCGGAATAAACTCACGTTCGGAGGAAGGTCTCGAAGCTTTCTTGAACACTCTCGCCCACCGCATCCTTCACGATAGGCACATCCGCGTTCAGCTGGCCCTGACCCCTGGGCCTCCGTCTTCTTCTTGCGCCTGCATCGTCTCCGTCTGGGACTTCTTCTGCTTCATCATCGCCGAGATTTAACGCGTCTGAGCCGCGGCCGGATGGCCGTATTCGTCGCGGTGTCGATCGTCCGTTCGAGGATTGAGACGCGACAGGAGCACTACTGGGTGGCAGAGAGGATTGCCGCAAGGGCGGGGAAGAGGATACGCTGTCGACATCCATTGTAGAAGCGAGAAAATGCGACTAAAGGGATGACCTTGCTCAACGCAAAGAGTAGACGCGTCCAATGTAATGAGACACGAGAACGCCGGCCCTAAGCTGACGCGTGGTGGCGCGCGCTACCGTGCTCGCGGACCCAAGTACCACTCGAGTACCGCTCACTATCAGGTCTGAGCTTGGAACTTTCAGTGTCTACTCAATCTTTGTACTCGATGGAAATAGAACGGCTTGACCCTGTATACGTCAACGAACGGCTCTCGCAGCCTCCTTTTGTCACCATACCTGGAGTTGTCAATGTACGAGACTTGGGTGGATACTCTAGCACGATCCATGCGGGCATGAGGACCCGGTCACGCCTTGTGTTTCGGTCTGCGGAGCTGTCCTCTGTCACGGAAGAGGGTATGTCCTCGGAAAATCTGACTTACTGCACCCTGCGCATAATGGCATCATCAGGAAAGCTCAAGCTAAAGGAGCTAGGAGTAACGACCGTCTTCGACTTGCGGTCAGACACCGAGATCGAGAGATACGAATCACCCATTCCCGAGGTTCCTGGCGTGCAGATCTTGCGGGTACCCGTCTTTAAGACAGAGGACTACAGTCCTGAGATGATGGCCAAGTGCGTTTAAGAAGTGTTGCTAGAGGTCCATAAGCCTGACCGTTCGTACGATCGCTGTAGACGATTTGCCCTCTACGCAAGTGGCAAGACGGAAGTACGTCACTCTCAGCCCAGTCGTTGATCTTAGTTGAGAGCACCACAAGTAAGGCTTTCATGGAATTGTACTCGCAAATCCTCGATCATGGGGGACTTGCGTTTGGAGCAATTCTCCGGCATGTCAAAGATAGGCCAAACGAGGGTTGCGTATTTCACTGCACAGGTGTGCCCATGTCGCGGGCCCGCGTTGTACTACTGATGAACAGAGGCCAGCCGGCAAGGATCGTACAGGTATCCTAGCTGCTCTCATATTGAAGGTGCGCAACCCGATCACGCCGTATTTCTTGTCGCCTCACAATTGCAATATATTCAAGCTAGCTGGCGTGGCGGATGAGCTAATTGCAGAAGACTACTCCCTGACAAGGGTTGGTCGCGAACCTGCACGCCAAATGGTCATGGCACGACTAGCCCAAGTCCCTCTGTTTGCTTCGAACACGGAGGCTGCTCTGAACATGTTCACCTGTCGGTCTGTGTGGATCATACTTGATGCATCACTGTGACTCACTAACAGGTTCTCTCAGTGCAGAAACCATGATAGCTTTTCTGCAATTATTGCAAGACCAGTATGAAGGAGTCGAACGATACCTTGAACGATACGCTCAGCTCTCGCCTGATGACATACAAGAAATCCGCCGGAATCTCCTAGAACTGCAATCATAGCAGTTCCTGGCATTGTAGTCAGTGTCACGGCAACCTGTCTCCGAAATACACAACGCGTCGTTTCTCACTCGTCGTGACATTACTCTACTGTATCAATCTTGTAATACAAATCCTCATTGAATCATGCAATAATATACCGACATGCAGGCGAGTCTAACGAGTCGAATCCCCAACGCACAATCGTTTCAAGATTTTTTGTTCAGGGTCAAAGTCCGCGGCTGTTTCATTTGTGTTTGGGGAACGAGAGTTGGGCTTGCGGGGGGATGCGCCAAGCTGGATGAAATCAACCCTGTCTGACCGCGTGCCCTTGGATTGAGTGGTGACAGTGCGCCACCAGACCGCGATGGCGGCCGTACAGGGACCTCGCCTGTGACTTTCCGTCGTATCGTAGGCCGGGTAGATGACGGTGCGGCGGGGGTTGCAGCAGGAGGCGGATTCGACGGCTTGTCGATGTCAGGAAAGCCGGGGAATGAGACACTATCGGAGCCCAGCGCCTGGCGCCGCGCACGTTCGTGCCTCGCCTGTACTGACCGGAAATGCGAGAGTAGTTCTTGCCACTTAATGTCTTCACGACCGAGCTTTGATCGCGTTGACGATATGTTGCCCACAGTGCTGATAGCGATAGTAGATGAGGATACGGCTGGTTTTTGTCGAAGGCGCAAAGGGACTCACGATTTAGGCGCAATGTGAAGGAACCCTGACGAGTTCACCGCACTCAAGCGATTTCGGAGTGAGACGAAGGCTGAGCTCTGTGGTAGCAGCATCAACAGGCCGTAAAGGCACTTGAACAGATGAGGGTATTTTTCAGGTTCCAGTAGTTGCAACCGTAGATCTGCCGCCGAACGTCAGTCAAATTCCCTCAATGGCCAGTAGATCATGGCATACACGTAAAGACTGGTGACTCGATCAGTTGGACGAGCTTGTCTATTTGCACAAGTAACTGCACGGTGATCTCGAGGTCGGCGCTATCTCCAATTAGACAGGACCCGACGTGCAGGCAAAAGATCCACGCACAAAATATACAATAAATTTGATGCATGCTCATAAGCCTGAGCAAGTAGACACAGGGAGAACACTGCGACGGCGTTGTGACACCATGAACGATACAGGGTAGTAAATATTGCTTGTCCGTCTTGCTGCTCCTTGTCAGCGAAGCATTGTACGAAACAACAGTTAGCACGTACCCGAGTTTCGAGGCTCTTAAGCCTTCTCCGGAAATCCGCTAATTCAGGAGACGTAATGAGGATCATGTTCAGCTTCTGAACCATGCCACTAGCGAATTCAAGATCCTGCAGTAGATGAGCGCTCGTTGTTCCAATCTGAAAGGCGGTGGTTGTTACCTCTTCTTTCTCCAGAATTTCGGCGAACGTACGGTAGATACGTTCCGTATTGAGATTGAGACAGAGCTGGCGGATGATGAGACTCCCTCGTGTTTCTAGCAGTCCGCGATCCGTGCTAAAAAGATCCAGAAGGTTGATCATAAACGCTTTGAAGTAGCTCTCATCTGAGCTGGATGAGATCTGAGCAATTAGTTGCAGATCATTCTTGACCACCTGCAAACGAAGATCGATCAGAAGAGTCAGGCTGATATCCCTAGGAGATACATACCTCTTCTGAGGGATCCGAGAGTGTCTTCAGCAGCGCTGGGAAGGTCCCGTCGTCGATGGCAAGGATCTAACAGACTTTTAGCCACTGCAGACACTCTATACCGACAGCCCACGCACCTTCTTCGGCGCCTTCTGATGTAGCATAATGAGCCATCTCAGCGCCGCCACCCGCGTGTCCTCATGCTCGCTCAGGAACTGGATGGTCAGCGCATTCACCGTCGCCTGGTAGTCGAATTGTTCCGATTTCTCCTGTAGGATCGATGCCTCGGGCGACTGCTGTATCTGCAGCACACTCCCCGTCGATGTCGGAGAGTCAGGGCGGCTTGCGTGCAACTGCGAGCTGGGGGCGTCCGGCGGTCCAGTGCGCGTAGAGTCTAGCTGCAGCGTTGCTCCACGCGGTCGCGGCGCGGGCGCCACCGACGCGCGGTCAGCTGTTGTCTCGAGCAGCGACTCCGGTGAACTCAGGTCGCGGCTTTGTGGAGTGTCCTTGCCAGCAGTAGACTGTCTGGTAGATGCGAGGGATGTGACAGCCGGAGTAGGGGACCCAGGAGCCACTTGCGATGCGGCGGAAGATGACTTGTCTGTCCCTTGGCGTGCTGGTTGGTCGGGAGGAAGAGGGAGTGCCTGGATCATGTTCATGAGGAGTTTGTTGGTACGCTGCGCAGCGGACTGAATCATGAGGACATGGTGGGATAGGTTTGGGAGGATCACGAGGATTAGGCGGGGTGTAAAGGGGACCATCACTTCCGGTACGATTCGTAGGAACTCGGATAACCACTGCAGAGCAGTACATTGTTGGATAACGTCGTCTGTAGACAATAAGTCTGAGTTGTTCGCAATACGTAACTAGCCGATCATGACGTACGTTGGTCATCAAGCTGTTGGATGAGAATCTCGACTATAGCAGCGTAGTCTATTTTGACACCCTGACCGGGGACCCAGTCTACAATATAAATCAATACCGGCTATGTGGGCAACGCGGTCACACTTACGACCCGCATCGCGACCATCTTGTTTCTCGTCGGGCGAAGCCAAAGGGCTCTCGTCCACTAGGACATGTTCGTTATCCGGTAAGAAGGCTCCTCGCTCTGATACTGGGGCGCTCAGATCCTGCGATCGCTCCTTCTCGGGATCTGCTCGACGACTTTGCTCGGCCGCAGCCTCCCGCTTGGCCTTAAGCTGCTCCTCACTGCGCTGCTGGACTGCAGTCACTTCACAGATTTCACGAAGGAAGTCGGCGAGCAGGTTCTCGGTGGCGACCCGTACATCTTGCGTTGGGTCAGACAAGTATTTCCTGGAAATAATTCTAAGCAAGTGGTCAGCAACGGATACCGGATACTTGACTCACAGAAGCCCGTCCAGAAATTCTGGCAAGTATGTGATGAGTTCGAGCTCGGGGACAGAATCAAGGACAGTGATCCATGATACAAGGTAGCTCCGAGTGAACGGGCTAAGGACATATATCCTCTCTGAGAGGAGAGGTATAAAATGTGCGAGTGAGAACGCCTTTCGTGCGCTATTAAAGTCCTCGCCGTTGGCAAGATCGTCTGGATGCGGGACCAGGATGCTCATGCCGTGCACTTCTTCGGCCCGTTTGCGGACCTTCTCTGTCTCAGGATAGTGGGGAATGTAGACAGATGCGGTCTCCGCCACGATATCTTTCAGAAGACGATCAAGCAACTCTGCGCCATTCTTGACAGACAATTCTGAATCGGCAGCAAGCTGAAATGAACTTGACATGAGCATCCTGCACAAGCGGGTGCGTGCTCACCTTGCTCAAAGCATCAAATATTGGGTTAAAGTAAACCAATATTTCCCCTTTTGATACCTTGGCGATGTTGTAGAGGCATTCCGCGGAGAAGTACCGCACCCTGTTCTCGGGATCGGTGAAGCATACTAATAATGGCTCGACAAACTTCTCCATGTACGGCGCAATATCGACGCCAAGCGCGATTGCGGTGCCAGCCAGTCCTATGAGACCACCATTCCGTACATGCAGTGGATTTGACGAATTGTTGAACATGTCCACTAGTTGATCGACAATCTGGCTTATACGCCGGTGGTCACCCTGCTGGTGGCATTCGCGTATCTGCCTGCACACGAGAAGTTCAATACAATGTCCTTCACAGCATGATGCAGCAAACTCACTTCTCAAGTTCCAGAGCAGCAGCCTTCCGCTTCTCGTACATCTTGTCGACCAACTGCTTTGAAATGCTCGACTCTGCGCCGGGCTTAGTTTGAGTTGATCGGACAGCCTGCATGTGTATTGCTCACCCATCTTGGAAGACAGATTGTTGCACTGGAAGTCGTGGAAGACAACAACCGCAACGCGAGCAGATCTGAGAGCTCATAAACACGGAGAACGTGGTCTCGCATACTGACACTGACCGCGTCAACCACGAGGCTGATCGGCAGGCGCCTATGCACCACAACTCGGACGTCGACTTATTCGGCCCTGCATGGACGACGACCAGGAGGCATACCTCCTTCTGCTCCTGTCCGACAGCAACCTCCCCACAGGCTCCTTCGTTGCGTCTGCAGGCCTCGAGTCCTATATAACACATGGCCTGTTCTCCCCCTCGGCGCGCGGGCTCCAGGGCACGATGGACGCGACAATGGATTTTCTGCGCGACAGCCTGCGGACATACGCGCGGAGTGCTCTCCCCTTCGTATCGGACGCTCACCGTGCCGTTGAATCAATGCTTGCCGCACCCTCGAACAGCGGGCAGGACGACGCGTCCAGCACCGCGGTAGCGCAAATCAAGGCCCTGGACGACTTATACGAGGCCATGACGTTAAACCATGTCGCCCGACGCGCATCCAAGTCGCAAGGCGTGGCCTTGCTCACACTGTACTCCAAGGGCTTCTCTAGACCAGCATTCATGCAGGCCAGGACACCGGACGACTCAGACACGCTCCGCCAAACCCAGGCGGGACTCTTCATCGATAGATTGAAGCTGGAGGTCAGACGTGAGCATACCCATGGACACCTTCCTACCTGCTGGGGGATTCTTACTGCTGCCCTTGGGCTTTCTCTTGGTATGTACGCATATACCGAGACCCATCCCCCGAGACGATCCCTCATCTACCCTAGAACGAAGCCAGTTCCTTCATCTCTTCCTCCATGCCCGAAGTTTGCTGTCAGCATCTGTCCGCCTCAATACGCTGGGACCGTATGCGGCTCAGCAATTGCTTTTGCACGCCGTACGGCCAATGGTGGAAAGAGAAGCGACTCGTTGCAGGGACCTCAGGACTGGCTATGATGTCTCAACCATATCACCTAGATCCTCAAATCAGGAGTTTGACGAAACTACACACGGTCCAGCAGTAACCTGGCCCTTAGGAGAGATCCTCGCTGCACGACACGACCTGCAGCATTCGCGCATATTCAACAGCTGATATCCCGCTCAACTACGGCAGAGCGCGTCTTCCAACTCATCGTACAACAGAGACGTACAACATCATTTATTATGCCGTTACGAGTGCCAACCGCGCTGAGACTTCTGCCTGCGAGCGCACCAAACTGGCCAGATATGATACCATCAACGTGTCCTGCAGTCCATCGTGAGTTCAAGCGCAATTTGAAGCGCGAATGGACGTACCTGCAAGCTGGCATTGAAACCGCCCTTCTCTAGATCCTCCGTGCTCGACCCCAGGGTATCCATCAAGTACCGTCCCAACGCGGGATCTCCCTTCACCTCCCCTGACAATACTGATTGCACATATGAGAGCACGCGGTCAAGCATACCAGCAACGGATAGAAGGGACCGCTCGAGAAGTTCGAGATCTGTGGTAGGATGGGGGTTGGTGGAGTTAGGGGATGTAGAGGTGGTCGTGAGCAGGTCGACTGTCAAGAAAAATGAATAAGCAGACTAGTTGACGGAGAGCACGCTACTCACGACCGCTCCGCTCAACATCGTTGAATCTAAGCTCGCACTGGATTGGGACAAATACACAGTTTTCGGGTTTCGGGAGCACACCTACGGGTGACCTGCGAAGCAAATTCAGAAATCTTCATTGGATCAGGGAGACGAAGAGGACGAGCGAACCCGATGAATGCTTTTACGCCTGCCTGCTCGCCCTCGACGGTTCCGGTGTTTAAGGCGAGGTGAATTGCCTGATGGGGGGCGGTCTCTTGTGAGTAGAAATTGTGGATGAGGGCGGAGTAGGTGTTCAGATTTGACCCAGTCGAGTACCTATGTACACAGACGATCGACGGATTGAGTCAGCTCGACCTAAGAAAACCGTGGCGGGAGATGCGCACCAGCCTACGATGACCTCCCTCGGGTTCACCTTATGGTGCAGCTCGTACATCGTTTTGAGGTAGTCCATGTCCACCGCAACCTGCTCCTCCGTCTCGCTGTGGAGGACGGCGAAGGACGAGCGCACCTCGACCTCGCCATTGTCTGAGCGTGTCCCAAGCAGGGTTCCAATCACCCGCTCCTGCGCATCGGTGCGTCGAAGGTAGTGATCGAGGATGGAAAAGAGGGCGACTGGGTGGACAGTGACTGAGGTCGGCGCACGCCTGTAGCACAATCCTCAGCGACGACGCGCAGCTAGACTGAACAGAAAATGCACACCCTGGCGTCAAGATGAACCCCGGCGCAGTGTTGTGAATGTAGACGGCCGACGACTCTGCGGCGAGCGGCATTTTTGAGACTGGGATCGAGCAGGCGAACGAAGACAAGATCAGCCACAGCGCTTCCCGAGAATGAAAAGTCGCCGGCAATGGCCGGACGACCTCCCCTCTTCCTCCTTTCACGACACGACGTATCCCAAAATGCCCTCTGAAGAGACAAAGGTGCGTCTTGGGTCGCGAGAGGGCGCACTCTCTACTTGATTCTGACTGACCATCAACGCATAGGAGAGGATCATCAAGGCGGTTGAGCTCGGACGTGTACGTGCTACTTCTGTATCGCTGCCACCAGACGCGTGACGTGCCTGCTTGCAGACTGTCCTCCACTATGGCTGGATTCCTCTTATCATCTACGTCGGCTACACACGAAGCAACCCTCAGCCGTCTCTGATCAAGTGCGTAGTCAGCCTATGCATCGTGTTGGCGCACAAGCCTAATAGTACAGCAGGTTGATCAGCCCCCTCGCATGATAGAGCTACGCCTGTATACTTAATTGATCATCAGCCTCCCTGTTCACTGAACACCCTATCGTGTGATCTTTGTGGGATTTGACGACACGCAGTGTCTGGTTTGCGATTTATTGGTGAGTGCGTCTTGCAGTTGTCTACTTTGGCCATGATTATACATGTGGTGGTGCTGTTCATTGGCACTCCGAGTCACTCATGTGCACCATGGGTCTCTGAGGCTGCTGTAACCTCGTTCTCGTTGGTTTATGCAAGCCTCGGCATGAGGAACATACAAGGCCAGATATGAGCCAGTTGCATTATCTCCAACGTGTCTTCCAGAATGCTCACACGTTTTCACAGAGTGCATGAATCATTACGTCTAAAATTGAGTAAAACTACCGACACAGCAACTGGAATCGAAAGCGACATACAAAGCAGGATACATAAATCCAAGAGGTAGGCAATCATAAGTATACTCGCCGCAAATCCGCAGCAGCCGTGATTCGCTTGCATATCGGGCACATCTTCGTCGAGCCCAAACAACGTAGCCAACATTCCCGACAGCAGGTATGCCAGCAACCTGTTGAGGCGGTAGGTTCGGTATATGGGTCCAAGCATATGCGACACAGCAATGAAGTCGACGAGGAGACGCGTAACGATGCCTAAAACATTTTTGAGGATTTGCTTCGGGGCTCGCGTGTACGACAGGTATGATACTCACCAGAAGGCTGATCTTGTTCTCAAGTGCTTGGATCAACGCAACCTGGTCGTTCTGTTTCCGCGCGCTCTCAATTGCCTGTTCTACCTCTTCGGCTTCTCCTACTCCCATCACCTCGTCCATGGCGCGTTTGACATCATCCACATGCCGTTCCTCGACCTTGCCTTCTGCCAACAACTCTTTCAAGGCTTTTGCTGCATTGTCGTCTGGCTTTTCTACTGTCTGGGCTGTGTCACGACTTGTCTCACCGATATCGCCAGTCTCGACATCGACATCTTCATCTTCATCCTCGGATTCATGCTGGCCTGAGACGGCAAGAATGTCGTTTTCTGTGAACTGTGCAGCTCCAAAGAGGACTTCATCTTCGCCGTCAACGTCCACCTCATCTTCAACGTCCTGCTGGGTACGGTCTCTGATGTCGAAGCCTGTGCCTATTGACATTCTGTCACAAACGCTGCATTGGCCAGAAAGATGCTCACACGCACCTCTGAAGTTGACACCAGCCAATATTCCTCCCTCCACGTCAATATCCATCTCCATGTCGGCCTCCCTGCTCTGACTTCCTTGCACCTCGGTGATCCGTAGGTGCGCCAGACAAGAGTCTACATGCGCTTCTACAACATCCTCGTCGCCTGGAACATTCTGCCCGCACACTGGGCAGGGGGTACCTCCAGCTTCATTATGTCCTCTGCCCCACCATGGTACGTCCTCGTCGTCACGCATCAACTCCCTCAGCTGTGCATGCCGTTGCTTGCGGCGGTTCTTCAAAGTACGTATACTCTTCGTGATCTGTTCGAGCGTTACCTCCGAGGTAGAAGCAAAGGTCGCCGCACTCTGGGAATGGCTGAGACCTTTGCGGGCCTTGACTGCAGACCGCCGTGAGCGGCTGGTCAACCTTGGTGGTGCTGTGTGAACGACGTCCTAGCTAGAAAAGCGTGGTTTCGTACCCATCATCTGGCTCGGCATCCGCCAGCACCTCCGTCGAACCGACCTGCTGTATGATTTCCTCCACGCGGGCCATTTCCAGGTCGCTGTGCTTGCTCAGCAGCCGGACAGGAATCGCTTCGTGACAGACGGGACATATTCTTGTCTCGGCCCGCTTTGCTGCCAGCAGATCAGTTGACACGAAATGACCTTGCCATGCAGAACATACGTTTCTTCGTGGGGACTTTCACTGGAGATGCATTCGTCGGTGGTGCAGAGCTCAGCGAAGAGCTGCTCTCACTTGCTTCACCGTCACTGGCGTGGGCTTCCCATACTCGCTTCTTTCCCCTGAACAGACGCTATCAGCACGAGACGCCCAGAGGCCTTCCGAGCGAACGAAGTGCACTTTGCTGTCCTAGCGGGCGACATGACGGGATCGTCGGGAGCGGCTTTATGTGCGCGATGGTGTTGGCGATTTATCCGACGCAATTGCGAGATCAGCGGGGACGCGAGACAGGATGGATGGACGCGGTGAGCTCTGGATGGATCATCGCAGGCGCAGGCCAGCGGACGAGGCGCGTCAAGGCACGTGCACACAATAGCCGCCGATGCCTATTTGGGGGCAACGCAGATCCTTGCACGGGAGGTCCATAGCTGCAGGTCATCGTGACCTAGGACCGTCTGGTAATTATGCTCCATGGGTATGATTGCTGGTGGTAACTCAATAGGAGGTCATATATGGCGAGACCGGCCCCGCAGAACGAATCAGGATACTCGCTGCATCCGAAGCCTACTCCTTCGCTAATAGCGCTTGCTGCGCCTATGGTCGTCCTCACTTCCTCGAAAAGGTCATGATTCATATTCATGTTTTGCTTGTTGGTGAACATCCTTCGTCGTGTGAGAACTGTTCTGTCCAACAAAGGAAGCCCATGATACGTCACATGTTCATCGATACTCATCTCGACAAAGACAGGCATCCGTAGTGATCAGGTGAGTTGCGCAGCATCCTCACAAGTCGGTTCGAGGCTAAAGTTAACTTTCCGCCTACGCATAATGCTGTGCGGTCAATGTCCTTCTGTGTGCTTCGAAGAAGGGTTACTGTGGACACTTCACATGTACCGGCCCGCTCATATGCAGGACACATGGTCCTCGAGAGGGATTTGACACGCTGTACGTCATATATATACGACCCACCTAATCATTCCCAGCTTTAGGTAACGAGACCATCCCCCAGGATGCTGCGCCATGTCCTGTTGTTATGCGCTCTCTTACGTGCCGCAATCGCCCTGACATACAAAGCTGCAGATATATCTTCTGTCCTCGTGATCGAAGGTGATGGCGTAACCTACACTGACGACGGAGTTTCCATGCCCTTCGAGGAGATCGTGAAGCTGCATGGTATGAACACGGCCCGCATACGGTTATGGACAGCAGGACAATACGACCTGGAATATGGACTCGCCATGGCGAAGCGCATAAAAGCAGCCGGATTGACATTGCATGTCGATCTGCACTACAGCGATACCTGTCAGTCTTTTTTGTCGGGTTATTTGCGTTCTTCGGCTTACCTGTAACTTCCCAGGGGCGGACCCAGGTCATCAAGCGATCCCCGCAGGCTGGCCGACAAACCTGACTGGCCTGGTCTCAGAGATCTACTCGTAAATCACATTCCCGGGTGTCTCCCCCGCATGCACCTGATCTACTGGTTCTCAGTTACACACAAAATGTCGTGCAAAGCTTCGCTGCCCAGGGTACGCCAATCGACATTCTCCAGGTTTGTGCCGATTCGTCGGATGCGCGTAAAGCCAATGCTCACCATACCTCGTGAGCAGTGCGGCAATGAGATTAACAACGGCCTGCTGTGGCCCGTCGGCGAGATCTCGGTGAACGGCATCGCCCCCGTGTCCCAGCTGCTCCATGCTGCCTTCCAAGGCGGCCTGTCCGCCGGATCCCCGACGACCCTCGTTCATCTTGCTAACGGCTGGGACTGGGCGGGCCTGCAGTCGTTCTATGGGGGCGTGTTCATGCCCGGCGGACTGTCAGTCGATCAGGTAGATATAATGGGCGTGTCGTTCTACCCGTTCTACGGCACGAACGCGACACTGGCGAACCTGCAATCGTCGCTGACAAACCTCGTGAACGAGTATGGAAAGCCGGTCGTAGTTGCGGAGACGGACTGGCCCGCGGTATGTGAGAATGTCACGCTGAGCGAGCCTAGCATTCCCGTCTCGGCGCCGGGGCAGGAAGAGTGGACAGGGGACATTCGCGATGTTCTGGATAGTCTTCCTGGTGGGAAGGGACAAGGAATTTGTGAGTCCAACAAATGTCTTGGAAAAACAGCAGCTGACTTACCGCTCCTTGCATAGATTATTGGGAGCCGGGATGGATTGGCAATGCTGCCTTGGGCTCCTCGTGCGCAGTGAGTAAATCCCACTGTCGTGATAGATTGGGCGCTGAATCCGACTGCAGGATAATCTGCTGGTTTCTCCTTCGGGCGAGACAAGACAGTCAATTGATATCTTCGCTCTCGATATGTGAAGACGGCTTTATTATATGAGCTAGTTGAATCTGCATTTTCCTTGTTCCTTCACATTGATAGCGTGCACTGAGCACGACATCATGGAGATCGGTGGTGGGGTAAGTTTGCCATGAGATGAAACATTCGCAGCGACAAATGAATACAAAATGAATGAGCGGTGTGGCTTCTTGTGAGCCTCAGCCAATTAATGCGATTGATCGGGAAGGAGCGGGGTGCCACGCGGGACTGTGATCGGCCGAGATCAGGCACTGTGTCATCGAAGAGTCGGAGACCCGGAATCAGCTGCAGGCGCCTGCAGACATCTTCAATCCCGAGTCCCAGCGGGGCCTTCTCAGACGCTCAGCCACTCCTCAGGCCAGACCCAGCAGTATGCGACCGTCTGGAATCTGCCTATCTGTTTTGTCCGCCTTTCCGCGCCGATTTTCTCTGCAGCGCGCTGTTCGTTATACTGTTCGCCGGTCAATACTGCATAGGAGACGGCTCAATTCCTCATTAGCAGCCGAGCAAGCATCTGAGCGAACGAAACCGACTGAGCGAGAGGCTGCAGTGCTGCAGGCCAAGTACACTCGTCCGTCGCGGCAGGAACTAAGTGAGCTCGATTGTGATGCTGCTACTACTTCGATTGACTAGACACCTGCACAGCCGTATCTAGTCCTCTGGAAAGATACCACAAGCTTGCAGAAACAGGTATTCTCCGCTATGACGAGCACCAGGAGCGGATCATCAAGAAGCTTCAGAGGCTGCACGATGACCTCATTAACTACCACCCTGCGCAGCCGCGCTCGACATCTCCGAAGCCCTCGCTGGTTCGTGCTACCCCTGATGCACCTCCCGACGGCCATTGACCCTAGCCAATCGCCTAGATCTCACGCCTCTTCTCTCGCACAGAGCCCTCAGAACATGTACCGCTCGAGCAAGTCCCAAAGGGTCTCTACCTCTACGGCGACGTCGGCACGGGCAAGACCATGCTCATGGATCTGTTCTACGAGACGCTACCACCGCACGTCACGCGCAAGCGGCGGGTGCACTTCCACGCCTTCATGATCGATGTGCACAAGCGTGTGCATGCCATGAAGGCCAAGCTCGGCGTGAACGGCGGCGACCCGATCGCGCCCGTTGCACGGGATTTGGCTAACGAGGCATACGTGCTATGCTTCGACGAATTTCAGGTGCGCCGTGTCTTACATCCGCGTCTGCACACTGGTGGGTGAGACTGTGCGTTCTAGGTCACCGATATTGCAGACGCGATGATCCTTCGACAGCTCTTCGAACGTCTGCTCAGCCACGGTATGGTCTGCGTAATTACGTCAAAGTGCGCATTTTCTCATATGCACCGCTATGTTCCCTAACGCCGCACGCTACCAGTCGCCATCCGGACGAATTGTACAAGAACGGCATCCAGCGGTCAAGCTTCGTCCCATGCATCGAGCTTCTCAAGACGCACTTTGAGGTCACGGATCTCGACTCGGGCACAGGCGAGCACCACACATCGTACTCGGCCCTCGGCGACTCCTGACACTGCCCGCAGACTATCGCCGCATCCCACGCACGCTTTCACATGTCTACTACGACCCGCTCACGCCCGAGAACCGCGCGGAGGTCGCCAAGATCTTCGGCGCACTCACCGCAGACCCAGCGGACCCCGTGCAGCGCAATCGCGAGCTGCAGACTTGGGGCCGCATCCTCCGCGTGCCCGAGAGCACCAGCACCGTCGCAAAGTTTCACTTTGAGCAATTGTGCGGGCAACCACTGAGCGCGGCGGACTACCTCGAGATCACGAAGCAGTTCAAGACGATCTTCATTCTCGACGTGCCGAAGATGGGGCTGAACCAGAAAGACATGGCACGAAGGTTCATCACTTTTATTGACGGTACGTGGTTTTCATCCACACTTTGCTACCTTGGAACTAAGCTCGCGCTGTTAGCGTGTTATGAGAGCAAGGTTAGCTTGCCCCTCTCATTTCTGTTGCGAGCGTGAAGCTTACGGTGATTCACAGACGAAGATCTTCATCACTTCTGAGGTCCCCATCGCCGATATTTTCGCTGCAGATGCGGATGCAAAGAGCGGGGAGATCTCCGACCACATGCGATCCATGATGGACGACCTGGTCTGTCGTTTTTCTTTTCGCTTATACTTGCCATTCACACTGCGACAGGGTCTTCCGGGAGATATGGTGATCTCCAGCTCGATATTCAGCGGCGACGAGGAGCTGTTTGCGTTCGCGCGTTGTTGCTCCAGGCTGGTGCAGATGGGGAGCAAGGAGTGGGCGGAGACTGCAGGGACGTCATAGCGCGTGCCCCGAGGCTCATACACACACGACCTATGGAACGATCTTGCTTGACTCAATACTACACTACTTGCACGGTCATGTAGCCCAATAATTGCAGGAGCTTTTGATGGCCGACTCCGCTTCACCTCACGATCCAATCGCGCCTTTCCGAGCCCATTACATCTCAGATAAGATCTTGCGCCCGTGTATTGCCCCCGAACGCGCCTCACTTCCCGCACCCATGTCCGAGCCACAGCCCCCTGCGCCCTTCCGGCCTGCGCTCCTCGTCGTCGACGTCCAGGAGGACTTCTGCCCACCCGTACCCCGCCCGCCCTCTGCGTGCGCCGCACCGTACTGACCCGCTTCCTCTGATCTCCCCCCAGCACGGCGCGCTCGCGGTCCCCGACGGCCGCGCCGTCATCCCGCCCATCAACGCGCTCCTCGCGCTGCCCTTCGCCTTCAAAGCCGCCACGAAGGACCACCACCCGCCGCACCACGTCTCCTTCGCGTCGCGGCACCCCGGCGCGGTCCCCTTCGTCACGCACACGACGATCGCGAACCCCGCGAACCCGGCGGAGACGTACGCGACGCGGCTCTGGCCGGACCACTGCGTCGCGGGCACGCCGGGGAACGTGCTCGCGGCGGGGCTCGACGCCGCGCGGCTCGAGCGCGTCGTGCTGAAGGGCCTCGACCCGCGCGTGGAGATGTACAGCGCGTTCCGCAGCCCGCTGCGCAGCCCCCCGCTGGCGTCCGCCGTGAGCGGGCTCGCGGGCCTCCTGCGCGAGCGCGAGATCACGGACGTGTTCGTGACGGGGCTCGCGGGCGACTACTGCGTGCTCTACAGCGCCCTCGATAGCGCGGAGGAGGGCTGGAGGACGTACGTGGTGGAGGACGCGGTGAGGTGTGTGGGCGGGGCGGAGGCCTGGGAGAGTAAGAAACAGGAGCTGGAGGCGAAGGGTGTGAAGGTTGTACGTGCAGATGGGGAAGAGGTGGGCTGGGTGCGAGCGTTGGCAGCCTAGACGATCCTTCCCCAAAGCTCCTTGTGTATCAGAGAAATTGTTGTACAATAGGCTCGATTCTTCCACTGAGGTACGAGAACGCACCGTCCGCCATCTCGGGATATATAAACTCTAGCCTTGCGCCGCCCAATCTCACATCCTCTACACACACTTAAATAGTTCTATCGCATACATCGTGATCCTAGTTTTGAGCTGAATGAAGCATACAGTAGACAGATCTGTAATGCACGGCACTCTCGCGCACCAACACCAACACCCTTCCAGGCGCCACCTTCTTCCCGCTCTCCCGCACCTTTTTAAACCGCGGCTCGCGGCGCACATCTACCACTGTGCCAGCAGCCCCACGTCCGCGCTCGTTGGCCGTCCCAAAATCATCTCGCTCAGCACCAGCCCCGTCCCAAGACAGAGACTGATGCCCCACGGACCGTGCCCAACCGCCAGGTACACCCCGCCGCCGCCACCACCGCCGCCCCGCCCACTGCACGCGCGCGGGCGCACGCCCTCGCCCAGGTCCGCCTCCGCCACGCGCGCGACGATCGGCTTCCCCGAGGGCGTGTTCGGCCGGAAGCACAGCCCGCCCTGGAGCACCTCGACGTCGTCCCCGCACAGCGCGCGCGCAACCGCGACGATGCGCTCGATGCTCGCGCGGTCCGGGCGCGCGTCCATCGCGCGCGCGGGCAGCGGGAGCGCCGCGCTGTTCACGCCGCCGACCCACAGCTCGCCGCCCGCGCGCGAGTACAGCTCCGGCGAGAACCCGCTCGGGTCCGACGTGAACACCGCGTGGCACGGCGCCGCCGCGGGCGCGGCGTGCAGGCCCTTCCACGCGCGCGAGCGCGCGGTCACGGAGTAGCCGGCGAGGCCCTGGACGGTCGGGACGCGCGGCGCGCGGGGGAAGAGCGTGCGGAAGACGCTGGGCGTCCAGCAGCCCGCGGCGAGGACGAGGCTGTCGCACGGGAGGTCGAGCTTGCCGGTGTGGAACTCGCGGCCGGTGCTGGTGGTGGCGAGGACGTCGACGCGGATGATGGCCTGCGAGGCGGGGTTGCCCGGGTCTGCGTGCACGAGCTTCGTCGCGCGCGCGGGATGGTGCAGGCGCACGCCCATGGCGATGCACTCTTCGAGCAGGAACTCGCACAGCTGATGCGGGTTGCTGGCGCACGGGCAGCCAATGCGAGTGGGATCGCAGGGACCGCGAGAAGGGGGAACCAAGGGGCAGAGTCAGCACCGGTCACATACAGCAGCCCACGCACGGAACGAGAGACGGGCACACGACCGCCGCCGGCTCGCCTTGAAGCTGGGGGGCAGCGCGTCACCAGAGCAAAGGGAGAGATGCACTCACACTAGGCCTGTTGTCGATTTTTCGGAGATGACTTGCAGGGCGTGCGCGGGGACGTGCAGCCAGGATGGCTCGTCGAGGCGGGCGAGCTCGGCGGCGGCGGTCTCTGCCTCCCGCTGCGCCCGCTCCTCGGCTGCGGCCTCGGCCTCTGCGCTGGCCGCCAGGGCCTCTGCTGTCCGCTGCTCGACAATGCCGACGCGCGTCATGCCGAGGGCCCAGTCGGCGCCCTGGGCGCTGCCGTTCTCCTGCGCCTCTGCGCCATGGGGCGCGAGGCTTGCGGGCGACGCACGGCCCGACGAGTCGGGGCGGGGGGACGGGGGCGGGGACGCACTCCGGTCGGACGTGGCGGCGTCCGAGTTGGAATTGGAGTCGGAGTCGGCGGCGCCCGCGCCGGCGCTGCGGTCGAGGGAGTAGGAGATGCTTTCGGACCAGCCCCAGCGCGCACGGCCGTCGTGCTCCTGGGCGAGCTGGCGGTGGAGGTCGAAGGAGAGGCTGCCGAGGTTCGCAAGGGCGGGGCTGAACCAGTCTCTGGCGATGAAGCCGCCGGCCTTGCCCGAGGCGGAGGCAAAGAGCTCGGGGCAGGGCTCGACGATGTGGATGATGTGGGGGGCGGCGTCGGGGTTCTGGCGGGAGAGGGAAGCGAGGTAGTAGGCGGTGGAGAGGCCCATGATGCCGCCTCCGAGAATGACGGTGGACGGCATTGGGGGAGTCGCGGTGGGACGGAGGGAGATGCCGATAACGCAGGACAGGGGCAGTGGACTAGGACTGGCATGTCGGAGCAGAGTACGGGGATCATAATATATACAAAGTCCAGTCGTTATTCCGCCCTCGGGCGTGGCCGAGCGCAGACTGGCAACATACAGACTCATGATACACTACTGAGCACTGACGTCCCCCTTACGGCACGCCAGACACGCCCTTGCCCCTCGTGTCGATCACCGAGTTGCTCTTCCCGACGTTCAGCCCCGTCGTCCCCGCCGTCACCCCCTTCCCCGCCTGTTCCTGGCCCTGCTTCAGGATCCGCTCAATCACGTCCACGTCCTTGCTCGACCCGAACACGTTCTCCAGCTGCTGTTTCGACGGCGTCCCGAGGATGCCCTGCGCGCCCTGGTTCGAAAAGAACACCTGGAAGGCTGTCACACGGGGCGAGAGGTGGGAGCAATCAGTCCGGAGAGGGCGAGAACAGCCCTGGCCACCCACAATCAACCACTTCCGTGAGCGCAATCGTTCTGCGCGGAACAAACATGGTCAGCGGGCGCTCCAGCCACGGGCCAGGGGAATATATCAGTACGTGTCTGTGCCAAAATGACATCAGCGGGGGATCGCGCGCCAAACGCATGATATCACACGAACCTCCCTCTTTCCATTTCTTGAACTGCACGGGCAACGTGTGAGCCGCGGTCAGCGTGTGCCCTCCGCCAGATCCCACGGTGGACGGACGCACCTCTGCCGGGTTGACGATGACCGTGAACTCGTCGGTGGACTGCGAGTCGGGCTTGTAGACGACCTTGGTTAATGCGCGGACCATGATGGATACGTGTGTGTCGTGAAAGGATTGAGAATAAAACGTTGGAAGATATGCTGAGTGAGAGTGGGTTGAATCGATGGCGGTGGTGTGTGCTCGCGTCTGCAAATATATGGTCTTGTGCTCTGACGTCATCCGTGCTCGTCCTCTGCCACATGTGACATCACCGGTGCCGGGGATGCCAGCGTCTAGCGCGAGACTCATCCAGAAGCTGATCATAAATGTCCTCGTTTAGCCAAGTATTATGCTTTCGCTCATTCGTCGGGTTTATAGCAGACTCTGCATTATGAGGACCACGTGAGGCCCTGGCAGCCTGTAATGCGCCAGACTTGTCGGGGATTTCGTATGTATGTTAGTAGATATATGATGATCGTGATTGATGTGCCTGACTGCCCCGCATCGCGAGTCATATCCTTAACGGCCCCGAATAAATAAAAACTGTGGATATGCATGATGCGTCCAGGTGGTTCGGGCACGCGACCTCGTACGTACGATGGTGACTCCTGACAGTCTGAATGTCAGCGGACAGAAAATGCATACCATTGTTCACGATGGACATAGCTCTGACGTTCGAGCAGCAGACCTGCTGCAGTAGGAGAAACGTAAATCCTCAAGAGACGGCGGGGAGCTGAGAGATAGTACAGTTGGTCGATATCTGCAACAGCACCTGCCAGTCAGCCGCGAGCGACGGTCCAGGGCCGTTCAAGACGTTTTCTCCCCCTCGTTCTCAGAAGATTGGCTCTCCTCTGTCACTCAAATTGCGTTCGAAAGCCGCAAGACCATCTTCTGACTGGGTGTACCTCATCAAGCGGCACCGTGGCGTCCGAGAACCCGGAAGGTTGAATAGGCTTCAGTGCGCATGCATCATCAATGTCCGAGTCGGGCGTCTTGAGTGCGGGAGCCATCGCCACAGCCCGCAGGAGTGTCCGGCTAGCCTCACCACGAAGTGTAGTCAAGCAATGGCCGGTGGAAACGACGTGCGCGGAAGTAGGCTATATGATGTAGATGTGCTGGCCGCCATGCCTGGGTTTACCGACCGAACAGAAAGTCATGAGCGCCACTGAAGTGAGTCAGTCGGAGAGGAAGAAGCTGAGCGGATGTCGGATGAGTTAACTCGACTCTGTAAACCTGGCGAGAGAACGACCCGTCCTCAGATAGGCTGCATACACGCCCAGTACGGTACAGCGCGTATGCTTCGAATGACCGCCATCACATTTCCTGCTTGACAACTTGAAGCGCAAAGGGAAAGAAGGAATGAGTGTTGTCATGTCTCGACTAACGGCCTGCTAATGATATGAACAACGCGGCGCATATCGTATTAGCCATGTGCGGCTTGGCGTATATAGAACGCGGGGATAATATAGGCAACGAGCGAAGGTCAGATCAGCGGCGGCCACAGCGCGCTTCTCTTGATGGAGGGATCGGCTGTGGCGCCAAAGCCGATGATGCGCCCCTCACGGCGTGAACCTACGCCTCCAATGGCTGAGCCTTTCAGTGTGTATGATCCCATATGAACCATAGACCCCCTATCCAGAGCATATATTGAGGGGACGGGTCACCCATGATTCCCTTGAATACCCAACTTGGCTGTACATGCAAGGGCAATCTGAACCCTCTGTCTCCGCAGAATGTATTTTCCTGTCGCTGCAAGAGTCGGTAAGAATGTGGGCGAGCGCAAGGATGTTTGTGTCGGCGCTTCCGGTTGGGCGCTCGTCCTCGAAAACTGGCATGAGCCGAACGTCATGCATCCATGTCGACCGTCTGCTCCTGCTCCTGCTCCTGCTCCATCCGCCCCTGCCCTCCTCGCATTTCCCTTCCTGCACTCTCCGTCCTGCGCACAGCGTCGCTCGTGGCTTTTCGCAGCGTGAAGACTGTCTGTAGGGCTACTCCTGGCTGAACTCCAGCGAATACGATGGCTTCGCCCGATGCCCCCTCAGTGCTGTCCGCGCCCATGACAAGCTCACCCCTGCCCATCCGCTCGTCGTCGCAGCATTCGCACTCGCACTCACCCGTCAGACGCCGCCGCAGCAACAGCGACCTCGCTGAGCGCGATCCCGCCGTATCTCTGTCACGCCCCCGGCTCTCGCCCACCCTCACACGCACATACAACCCCAACGACCCCGATGTGCGTGAGCGACAGCGCGCCATGGACGCCGACATGGCCATACAGCTCTCCCGCGCACGCAGCGGCACCGTCGTCTCCCCCATCTCCCCCGCCATCTCCCCCATCTTGCCCGTTCCTCGCCCCCTGCCCCCCAGCTCGGACAGCCCCCCGCCCGTACAGTTCCCTGCCCTATCGCTGCAGGAGGAACAGGACATGACCGACGCCCGCGGCCGCCCACACGCCAACTCAGACCCTGACAACGCCAATGCCGAGCACTACCACCCAGGGCCTGCATCCGACGTGCACCTCAACCACCTCAGCGCAGCCCATGACCCCTCGCTCCTCGTGTCCCTCGATACCGCCGACACCGAGGCCGGCCTGCCCATGTATCAGGCGAGCGTCGGGCCGCCTGGCAGCAGCCCGGAGCGGCTGCAGTACGACTTTGCGCCCATAGAATCCTTCGCGCGCGAGGAGAAGGCGCGCCTCGGCATCCACACCCCTGGCGCGCCGCACGCCTCCACGAACCCCTTCATCCGCCCGCCGCCCGTCCCCGACCAGCCCGACGCGGACGTGGAGGCCAGCCTCGGCAGCAGCTCGCGCTTCACCATCCCGCGCCCGCGGCACCGCAAGATCTCGCAGAGCGAGCGCGCCCCGCGGCGGGGGAAGCTCGCGCTGTTCGAGCAGCCCGGCGCGCCGCCGCCGACGTCGGGCACCACGCTGAGCGTCGTGCCGTCGTACGACAACCTGCCCGGGGTGCCCAACGGGCACGGCGCGCCCGGGTCGAGCAGCAGCCTCGCGCAGGGCCTGGGCGCAGGGGGCCCGGGCGTGGGCCACGACAGGCCATACCGGTTCTCGTTCTACTCGAACGCGCTGAGTGCGACGATCCATGCGCGCAGTTTGAGCGAGCTTCCGGCGGAGGGGCAGAGCTTCGAGGACCTGTTCATGGGCCGGGCTGGTGGGAGCGGCGGGCCGGCCGCGCGTTCGGCTTCTCCGATGGGGATGCGGACGGCCCCTGCGAGCTTTTCGGGGAAGCTACCCGGCGGGATGGAGAGAGGGATCGGCGGGGATAGCCCGGAGAGCTATACGTGGTGGTTGGATGTGCTGTCTCCGACGGACGAGGAGATGAAGCTCCTCAGCAAGGTATGTATGCGAACATCACTTGTCGAAGGCGTACCAAGTGCTTAGTATTGATGCCTCAGGTATTCTCCATCCACCCGCTGACGACGGAGGACATCCAGATGGAGGAGACACGAGAGAAAATCGAGCTCTTCCGAAATTACTACCTCGTGTGTTTCCGTGGGTTCGACCAAGACCCATACAGCCCAACCTATCTCGAGCCGCTGAACATGTACATTATCGTGTTCCGCGAAGGTATCCTCTCTGTGCGTTTACCGGCTGGCACTCTTGCGGCGAAAGTAGCGCTGACCAAGCGTACTCTAGTTCCACTTCCGACCAACGCCACACCCACAGAACGTCCGACGGCGGATCAAGCAGCTGAAGGACTACATTAGCGTAACGTCCGACTGGATCTCCTACGCGCTCATCGACGACATCACAGATGCGTTTGGGCCGCTGATTCAGAGTATCGAGTACGAGGTCGACAGCATCGACGAGCTTGTCCTTATCCTCAAGGAGGCGGAGCAGAGCGATATGTTGAGGAGGTGAATTGACATGCTTTTAGATGTGCCGCGCCTGCTGAAGTAGGTGGTGTAGGATTGGAACGTGTCGAAAGAAGGTCATGGGTCTGTTGCGGCTCATGGGCAATAAGGCCGACGTCGTCAAGGGTCTTGCAAAGCGATGCAACGAGAATTGGCGAGTAGCACCGACGTCGGATATCGTGAGTGCGATCTACACATATGCGTGTGCGCTGCTGGACACACAGCTCGGCCACACACACAGGGTCTCTATCTTTCGGACATCCAAGACCACTTGATCACGATGACGCAAAATCTCAACCACTACGAGAAGATCCTATCTCGATCGCACTCGAACTACCTCGCGCAGATCTCCATAGAGATGACGGAGGCAAACAACCAAATCAACGATGTGCTGTCGAAGCTCACTGCACTCGGTACGGTGCTCATCCCCATGAACCTGGTCACTGGTCTCTGGGGCATGAATGTGCACGTACCAGGGCAGGACCTCACGGTCGGTCTCGCATCCTGTGGTGCTCGTGGAACCGCTGACACCTGACCACAGGAGGGCTATGCGTGGTTCTGCTCCATCATCGGCGCGCTGGCCGCGTTTGCGGTGGTGGCGGGGTGGTCGACATACAAGCTGATGGTGCGGCGGTGAGGACGTCTGGACGTTTTGACGACGATGTACACGACGACTTCCGAGACGCGTTTCTGGCACGCGACGCATGGACATGACAGACGAGCCTCGGTCATGACGGGTTTCTCAAGCCCATTTTTTTTCTTTCCTTTGGGGTAGTATCGGCTTCTGTAGCATCGCACGCATCGCATAGAACTGGTTTGGAGCGTAGTCATATACCGTGGAAATGCAGTCTTCGCTCACGATGGCTTGATTTCTGAAGCTTGAGTGCGTGGTACTTGAAATACTCGGAGCGAAATAGGCCACCAGTCAAGCTTTCAAGGCGCGCACATGTGACCGTTTCTACGCGCCAACAGCGTGTGTACTTCTGCGCCACCGAGCTCGGTGGGCGAACGGCTTCTAGGACAGAGCGTCGCTGGGTGAGGGCACGTATGCTGTGTACCTGGTTCGACCCAGCTGCTACCAAAACAATCTCGACCTTCGTCGTGGCCTTATTATCGCTAGCATAAGCATCTGAGATTGGCGAGGGGTGCTTTACCTCACTGTCTGGCTGCATACGAAGGATGCAGAGGTTGCTCCTTCCTACCCTGGGTCTTGTCTCCCTGCTCTCCGTGTTTGTCTTCTATCGCGCCGGCCTCGACATCAGCACGTCGCTCTCCCCGCAAGGATGTCGCATGTCCTGGATGTCGCCCTCCTACGTCCTGCAGTCTGGGCTCAACCGCACATGGACGCCCCTTGCGTCCCGCTACTCCCTGTATCTATATCGAGAGGTAGGCTGGGACCCCGTGCACGAGGTATGCCGTATTCCATGTATTTCAGGCTGTCCCGAGTTGGGTGCGTGGTTGCCAGGAGAATGACTGAATGCCAGGACAGCTGCACGGCGCGCCCGTGCTGTTCATCCCCGGAAACGCAGGGTCCTCGCACCAGGTCCGCTCGATCGCCTCTTCGGCCGCCCGCCAGTACTTCTCCTCTCCGTACCATGTGGCAGAGGAGTTCGCGCAGGGACGCCACAGCGCTCTCGATTTCTTTGCTCGTAGGTCATATCCTTGCCGATTCGTCCTCACACTGAATCAGGCTCATGCGCGTGTGTATATGTATCTGTGAAGTCGAGTTCAATGAAGACCTCTCTGCCTTTCACGGCCCCACGCTCGACGCCGAGACCAGCTATGCCCGCGCAGCCATAGAATACATCTTCTCCCTCTACCCCGAACAGCGCTCGATGACTATCTTGGCGCACTCGATGGGGGGCGTCGTCGCGACCGCCCTGCTCGCCCACCCCAATGTGACCGCCTTGGTCACCATGTCAACACCGCACACGCTCCCGCCCGCGCGGCTGGATCGGCGCATAGACAAGATCTACCGCTCCAACCAACAGGTCCTCCAGTCCGATCCCACACCCATTCTGTCGCTGTGTGGCGGCGCGACGGATCTGCAGGTCCCCGCGGAGTCGTGTGTCCTGGACGACCGCCGCTTGGAGCTCGGCGACGGTTCGCCGTATCGGCGCACGGTATTCACGAGCGCACTTGAGGGCGCGTGGTCCGGCGTCGGGCATCGCGAGATGGTGTGGTGCCATCAGGTGCGCTGGCGCATAGCACGGGCTGCGTTGGCGCTGGCAGACGCACCCTCGCGAGCGGAGAGGGAGAGGGCGCTCGACACATGGCTCCGGGACGGGCATCTGCTGCCCCCGTCAAGCGGCGCGTTACCGATGCCTGGCCCTGGCGAGCTGCATCTGGACGCCCTGGACGAGGCCGACGTCGAGTTCTTGGAGCCTCTCGGCAGCTTTGTGCTCGCGAAGCCGACGCGGCGGCGCACGTACCTCTTGCCCATCCCGAGCGCGGCCTCGTCCTTCGATGAGTTCGCCGACTTCGAGATCGCTGCCTATGGGTCGGGCCGCCCGGCGCTGACGCTCGGGTTCTATCTCTGTCTCTCGTCCAGCGCGACCGTGCGTCCGAAGAGCTGCACGCCTTTGGAGCTGACGACAAACAGACGGCTGCCCGCGCCGGTCCCCGGCGCCCCGTTTCCTGTGCCCGACGAGGGTGTGGATGAAAGCGAATATGTCTATGCGTATGGCGCCAAGATCACCGATGATGGCGAGACGGCCGTGCGTTATGTTGCTGTAGACGTCAACCCCTCGCATGGAGAAGGGTGGGTCACCGGCGGTCTAGTGCCGCTGACACCCGTGGTTGGGGACGTTTGGGGGACTCGTATGTCTGTTGCTCCCTCTTCGAATCAAGGCGAATATTGAGCAGTCTCAACAGGCCTCATGTGGTCCACAGCCGAGGTCGAGCTGCCAAAGGCTCTGCGCACTGAGATCTCTTTCCCAGGTCTTCTATCACACGCCTTGATCGTTTATAGATTGCAGCCCATATTGCAGGACGCATCCTCATGCTCGGGTAGGGACATAAGTTCACCTTCATATGCGTAGAGCGCTGACATGTGGACCAATATTGGCCGCTACGCGATTCAGACGCGCTTATGCCTCCTCTGCTTCAGCATACTTCTCACCCGTCTGAGGCGCACTATTTCCCGCTGCTACCTGGCCGACCGATTCTACTTCATTCGCATGCCTCAGGGCCCTTCCTTCCGCAGGTTCGTCGTGGCTTCAACCTCACCATTCACTCGTCCAACGACCGGGGGTGCGGTGTGAAAGCGATCAAGATCAGCGTCGACTGGTGGGCTACGCTCGGCCGTTGGGGTCCACGGTACGCGCAAGCCGCCCTTGCGTGGGGCATAGGCCTATGCGGCCTAGCTATGTACTATGCATTGGCGACCGGCGAGCACATCCCTGAGGCTATCCCATCAGTGGAACAGTCGTTGGTGCGGATTGCCCGGGATCTCCTGCCGCGACTTCTGGTCCTGTCGTTCTTTGGGTCGTGCTTGCCGTTCCCGTTAACGACGTGGTTGGGCAATAAGGACGAGTCTGCTTTTGCAATACTTGCTCCAATCCTAGGCGTCATGGTGTTCGGGCTCGTTTATCTAGTATGGCTGGTACTCGGTATGTCTGTGAATGCAGTGGCGTGGCTGGTAAGGAGAACTGGTGGGGCAAGAAGGTAAGAACCCCTTTCATCTGATTCTAGCATTATTAAGTTTACCCCCACAAATCAGACCCAGAGACGACGCCGCGTCGCGAAGAAATGCGCTGCTATCCATGGGCCTCGTCTTCCTACTTATCTTCGTCTTCGTTCCGTGGCAGGTGGCCTTCCTTAGCGCTTGGATCTACCATTTCTACACATGTGCCGCGTATTCTGCGTCGTGCGATCCTTCCGCGCTATCTGGAAACCGTGCGATCCCACTGTTGCCTCGCAGACCCGCTCCTCCGCCACCGCCAGCTCGAGAATCCAATCTAGACAAAGAACGTACGACATTGCTGAGCCACCATTTGCATGCCCTTCTGCTCATGACTTGGCTCCTTCCGATTGCTGCGCCTGTGCTTGCTGTCTGGGTCCGCACAGCCTCGGGCGCAGGTTTCCAAGCTGTGTGGGCTTCTGAGTCGGGATGGGGTGCAGATAGAAATGTACTCTTCGTGGCACCGTGGCTTCTGTTCGTAGAGTGGGCAGGAGCTGGAGGTGGTATGTTGGGTAATACGTGAGTTTCTTCCAAGCGATCTTAGTATATCATCTTCGCCATGATGCCCTTCTCTCGGCTTCTCGCTTTCTCTCTTGATCATGCTGACACGTCCACTTCACAGGGGATGGTCAAGGTTCTCACCCGCACTCGCTATGGGACTCCTCCCACCTATCGCTGTCTTTTTCGGTTCCCGTGCACCATATATTGCCTTCGAGGTGGCAAGCGGCGTCATGTTCCTCATCATGCTAGGTGGAATTGGCCCAAGATACTGGGGTGGCAAGGGATGGTTCCACAGGTGACCTGAGGTGGAAGACACTGCGAGACTCCTCCCATGTCAAGTATTGCTCAAAAGCGCAGAAACGAGAGTTCGGCACTCAGCTCACTTCGGTGTCCAGACGGGACTCGTCTGAGAGGGCCGGGTGTTGCGCGCGAAGTCAATTGATGTATAGCAGTATCATCTGTATATCCGCTGCGAATAGTTCTTGATTCTGGGGAATGAATCTGTGTTTCTATCTCTGGAGGTTTCAGCAATGGTGCTATAATAAGTATTAGTATTCGCAAACGGTTACTAACAGTCTATTGTTTACTGAGTTCCGTACTAATCTAGTCTGTTTCAATTTGAGGGGTCCGAACCGTAAGACGCGATTTCGCCTTACATAAGCATTTTGATCTCCGAAACGCGTCGTGTAGATCTTGAATGTCGCGACGCGACGCGTCGCGGTGCATAAGGACGCGTCCAAAATGCTTGCCTACTAGAGAATGCGACACCCAGACAAATCGGTCTCAATATCAATTGATATTTATGTGTCATAGTAGACCCCTCATACACCATGTCTGCGCTTGCGTGGTCGTACCGGAGTCCTCAGGAAGGGACTGCCCCGTGGAGATGGAGTGTAGCAGTTGACTGCGCATAGCAAGAGGTGAAGGTGGTGATAAATGCAACATGTCGGGAGCCGTAGAGTGGAACAATAGGATCGAGGAAGTAGACAGGCGAGATTCGGTGATTGAGGTGGTTGGGTATCCACCAACTGCATGCTGTGACGAAGCGGACTTGTACGAACATCATAGGATCTACAGTCGTGTTTTTCATGGTAGGAAGCGAGAGTAGATAACACCGAGGGGAGCTCAGACATGATTGTCGACGATGAGCACCTAACCACCTGGTATGCACTGCAGGCCAAGAGAACCGATCTAGCGGTAATACCGCTCGGCGAACAACGGCATCGCGCGGCCATCAGCCGGCAATCGCGAACAGGTCTGAAATGCTGTCTTACGGTCCGAGGGGCGCGTTTTCACTGAGAGACCTATATTGGATGAAATCCATCCAGTGAAATGTACGGTATTCGTGTACTTTTCACACGCAGAGCGCATGCGTTTTCATCCGGATAGTGGCATTTTCATCCAGCGAGAGTGCGAAATAAGAGTGTGAAATTCATCCGAAATTTCGAACAAAGTGCACCCCATTCATCCGGCGCTGGATTTTCTGGATTCATCCGGATAATGGGTGAAAACTCCATCGCAACGGATGAATTCCACCAGTAAGAACACGAGCAAAACCCTCGTCATAGTGGATGAATTTCAGCAGTAGTGAGAAACAAATGTTTCCAGCAAATAGCTGAGTAGATCGGCACTCGAGCCCAGGGTAGGATACATCGGTCAGAAGACATATATATCATCTATCAATACACATATTACAGGGTTCTGTCATGTGAACATTCAATCACTATCTTATGCACAAGCTCGAAGCCTCTATCCTTGCCATCTCAAAGTGCACGCTGAAACATTTATCTTTCCGTTCTATTTCTTGTACTACTAGCGCCCATACTAGCGCCTGTTTTAGCGCTCACCCGCAGGTTGAACATTATGTAGCTTACATAATGGGATCCGTGCGCACTTCGTGCCTGGTATCGTGCCACTACATTTCCTTCTTTACTAACGCGACCACACAGATACAGTGCGTAGCCGGTACTTGTATAAATAGTTGTACCATTAGTCGGTCGAACCCTAAGTTCGACCTGGTTATTCATTCAAGTCTCTGCTCCTCCTCGCTTGGGGTAGTGGTCATTCTCGACTTCCTCGCTCGATCTTCAGGATGACGTACTGTCCATAAGCCCTCGCTCGTCGTCTACGAGTCAGGCCTCGGTATAGGAGTATAGACCGTTGTATCACATGCGCATGATGCCTAGCTCACACATCTTTCCCCTCCCTACGAGCGCTCTCGTGCTCGATCTCTTCATCCTCTTCAGTTGCCCAATCACGCGCAAAGTGTTCAAGACAGGGCTGTGTGCCTGACATATTATTAGTGCCATTTCCTGCAATTGAGACGTGTGCTTACCAGAAGCATGATGTGTCCAATATTTGTCTTATCATGTCGATACCGTGGTAGACTAAGGTGAGAGCTATTAGCAACAATGTTAATAGTGCATTTGTGTTGATCACTCAGAGATACTGTGAGTTCTGGTCAAGGTTCGGCAAGGAACCCACTACTCACCTGGATCAACTCAAACAGTCGGTTGTCACTCTCTAGTCCCATCTCCACCTGCAAGTTGAACTCATTACCCGTGGAGCAACTTTGTTCGCTAAACAATGTACCTTCAAGTCACCAAACCTTGGCTTTGAATGCTGACACCGCACCTTTTGTTGCTCTTCAACAATGTTCACAAATGCGGAGACCCTAACATACTCCACTTCGCATGTTTCTTGCCGTGCATATGGCTACCAGGTCCAACATCCATTGCACCGTAAGCGTGAGTCGTCGATATGACATGAGGAGAGATGTTGAGTGACGGGAGTCGACAAGTCCGGTTGCAAGAGAGGTGTGGTGCTGCGTGTTACCTCTTATGCTGACCAACCCGTTGGAGCATCCTTCATCCTAAATCCGGTAATTTGTTTGTCTCCCCTAGGCAGCCTACAATAGAGCACCCTTTTTGATGGTCAGAGGATGGGCACTCTATTGTATATGTGGTGCAATGAGTTGAAGAGCGCGTTTGCGTTCGCGGTCGATGGATGCTCGCGCAGAAATGATCTGTACATTAGTAGCCATTAGCAGAATTGATGCAATGTATCAATTGTTTGCCTTCATCATTCTGCATGATGAAAACCCGCCGCTTTTCTGGTGAAATTCATCCGTCAGGAGGGCCGGGTGGATTTCATCCATTCACGGTGTTGACTGCGTTTCATCCGTTTTTCACACCCTTGCCGTGTGAAATCGGACATTCACACGGTAAACGGAGCGAATTCACGCGGAACTGGTCTCTCAGTGTTTTGAAGCAGACCTATATATAATGATCGTCGCCCCCATATAAAAAAGTTCATTATATTTATGGTATGCCTACGGGAGACTAGTACTAACCAAATGTTCATGTATCCTGTCGTTGACCCAGTGTTATTCAGCCACCTCTACTCTGAAACGGTCTCCAGCCTCATCCAACATTCCTGCCTGGGTCTCTTTAGCACTTCGCTGACGCGGAGATCATTAAATTCGTCCGAAGTAATTGACAGCGTTGAATACGGCTTGCAGCACTCTCAAGGCCGCAGGCTCTATACAACGGCTTCCTTCGCTCTTCTCCGGCAGCTGGCTGTCTCTTTTTGCACTGGATATCCCACTCGGCGCTGCCTTGATACCCTCGACTGTTCATGAACGGTGTCCGACGCTTTCTCACTGGCGGAGGCACTCCGACCTCTTCAACATTCCCTCAGTCACCTCCATCACCTCCGTCTCAGTATGCCACCATCACGCCCTCTCCCCCGAAGTCTACTGCTCCTCTAGCTATATCTGCAAAACCATCATGGCCGCCCTCGCCCTTGCAGAGCCCGACGGAGTTATCTCCAGTGACCAGCCCAAAGGTGACGACCGCAGCACTCTTCCTCCGGAAGGATAGGCAGAAGCCCCTGCCCTCTGCTTCTGAGGATACGCAGGGAAACGCGTCATTCCATTCCCCACAGTCTTCGCGTGAGTCTAATGGCGTAGGATCTCCTGCGCGTGGCCAGGCCTCTGTACAAATGTCCTCCCCCGTGGCGGGTCCCTCGTCGCCCCGGCCGCTACCTAGCCGGGTGTCTGAGCTATCCAGGAAACTCGTCGAGCGTCCAGGCGTAACTACCCTCGATCTCAAGCGCAACTCCGAGATGGGCTCTACGCGTGATGATCTGCTAATTGACCTGTTGGCAAGCGAAGCTATCGTGGACAGTCGGGGTTGCGAGATCCTCACCTCGGAGGAGGTCGAGGAGCTGAAGAAGGTCCGTACACTTTCTATTGGCGGCATTCACATGTGCTAGATACTCTATCTATGTTCCTAGGAGCATCAAGTGCTTTCTTCAAGGCTTGTCGCGGCAAGTAAAAAGCTCGCCCTGGAGACTAAGATCCGTGACGCAGCACTCTCACTATCCAAGGCGAACGCGTCTTTCAAGAATGTGTCCAAGCAGACATCTGAACAACTGGATACTGCAAGTCGCAAGGTGGAGCTCGCACAAAAGGAACTATGGCGTATCTCAGAGCGTGCGAATGAAGTTCAGCGCAAACTCCTTGAGCACCGTGCTGGGGTGCTAAGCCATTCAGTACGCAGCCTAGAGAGGAAAACTGCGCCGTTAGACGGGGACTCCAGTACGTCTGGTTTCAGCACGCCTAATCGGAGCCTACAGATGAGCCCGACACCATCGTCTGCGACGAGTATCACAACGTCTTCTTCGAGAGGCCGGTTCGAGCACTTCGTCGCGGGTCATTCAGACTCCATTGTACCACAGGTCCCGCGCGCTCCGCCCACGATCGCAGAAGTGTCTGTTCTTGAGGAGAAACTCAAGGCAGCGACCGCTGCACTCGAGGCGGCCACAGCAAAGCAGGCAGAGATGGTCCGCGACCTGTCGCTTCTCAAGCTCGAGAAGGACCAAGTGGAGACGACACTAGGAATGGACCTTCAGACAGCTGAGGACACTATCTCCATGCTCGAGCAGGAAGCCAGCAAGGTGGGCGAGGTCGAGACACGATTGCAGGAGCTAGAAGCCGAGCGAGACGCGTGGGAGGCGGACCGTGCAGAGCTGGAGGAGCGTCGCCGGGAGGTGGACACGCTGGAACGGCGGCTCGAGGTTCTCGAGGAACAGAGCGGGGAGGCGGCAGAGATGTCCAGTGTGTTTGCACGCGAGCGGGAGGAGCGTCTCGGGCGGTTGGCTGTCCTGGAAAGCGAGCTTGCGGAAGAACGTGCGGACCGAGCGGAGGAGCGGCAAGCATGGGCAGCCGAGCGCGCTGCGCTGGCGGACGGCGCGAGCGGACGGACGGAACTGGACGCGGGTGTAGACGCGCTCAGCGAGCTTATACAAACACATGGGATCCTCCTGGTGTCGCGGGACTCATCGATAGTGGGGCTCGTCGCGTCGGTGGGCCGACATCTAGAGGACCTACGGGCGAAGATCGACGCGCACACGAGGGCCGAGGAGGAGTGGGCAGTGCTGCGAGCGAAGCTAGAGGGGGACATCCGCGCAGGGCTGGACAAGCGCGAGGCCTTGTTCGAGGAGGTCGAGGAAGCACGGCGCACGCGGGACGAGGCGAGGGTCCAAGCGAGGGAGCTGGAAACGCAGTTGCGGGTATGTCGACATCGCTATTCTTCCGCTATTTGTTTACTCACAACGCGCTTCAGGAGCAACAGGTCGCGCAAATGGCCGTAGCCAGCCTACAAGCCTCGCAAGCCCCCGTAGAGTACACTGGCGATGCTGCTCAGATGGTCGCCCTGCTCCGCCCGATTTGGGCGGTGCTGCCTTCGCCGGAGGCCCGTGCAAGCAAACTCGGTGCGCGCAACTTCCGTGCCGGATCGCCTATCATGCCAGGCAGTCCGACCCCCGGGCGGAACAACTCGTCATTGTCTGAGATGGACGTGCGCTCGCTCAAGACTCTGTACGACCCGCGGGCGATGCCACCCCCCAGCCTTGCAGCGTTCACGGTCGAAGCATTCGTCGCGCGTGTGCAGGCACTCATTGCGGACGACCGCGCGTTGATTGAACGACTCATCCGATTCGCGCAAGCGCATGACCTGCTGAAGAAGAACGCGGAGCGGGCGCAGAAGCTCGCGCAGGAGAGCAATGGGGCACTCGAGACGTATCAGAAGCAGGTGAAGATGCTGGAGGACAGGAATCTGACGATGATATCCAAGATGGCGCAGCTGTGAGTCGGCATCCGACAGCACTCATGTGATGGGAGGCTAACATCATCTCACAGCGAGGACGAGGCACAGTATCTTCAAGAGCAAGTCGATCGTATCACAGCAGAGAAACTCGAGATCGAGACACAGGCCGCAGAGCAGGCCGAGACGTGTCGGCAGCTCACTGATGCTAACAACACACTTAGTGCGCGTGCGCTCACGCTCGCATCGGACGCTGCGGATGCAGGTGACTCTGTGCGGAAACAGATGGAGGTGCAGCTTGCCGAGTGCAACACCGCGCTTGAGCGGGCGAAGGAGGAGATTGAGGCGATGCGGAGCTCGCAGCAGACGCAACAGATGGCGTTGCTAGAGGAGCTCAACTCGATGCAGACGGAGAACGCGTCGCTGCGCGCTCAGCTGCGCAAGAAGTGATACGTTGATTAATTTATGTGCGCTCTTTGACCCTGCTATGGATCCGTCATTTGTCCCCTTCCCTCATCACCTCTTCAGTCTGGATCTCCCTGGGGCTCGTGCGCCGACTGTATCCGTATGGCTGACGATCTGACTGCATGTCCTGTGTTTTCTCTGCTCTCCCTTTGGCATATGTTCTCTCGTTTGAGGAATTCGTCGTACACTATAGCCACGCAATAAACCGCTTCTTTTTCTGTCACAATCGAGGTTTTGATGAGGATCTGAGATTGGCGTCTACTTGAATGAACCTGCCGTATTTGGCCGCAACGCCTATGCATCATAGCCTCTCACTAAACCATCTCACGCATACGCGCTCTCTCACTCTCTTTAGTCCATGTCGGACATATCTCACCACCTCCTCGATGAACTCCCCGAAGTTGACAGGCGATCATGTCGACTGCTAGGTCCAACTGCGTTGGTAAGCATGTCGGAAAGCTCACATCTCATGGTCTCAATGGCTGCGTAGATCACCCAGGGTCTCATGGGCGTGTTGGTGATGTCTTCGTTGGTATATAAGCGGCATAGGGAGTCTCCAAAACGTCCGTGGCGAATATGGTTTGTTTACGTGCGTCATATCGCCGAGCGAAATACTGACTGTCCTTGCGTGTGCGGTGGTTTCTAACAGGCTCTTCGACATCTCGAAGCAAGTGCTCGGCCAGCTCGTAGTGCACGGCGTGAACGTGCTTATCTCTGACCTTGTCGCGCACGCCGCTGACGGAAATGCATGTGTGTTCTACTTCCTCAATATCCTGGTAGACACTACCATTGGTACGTCTGTCTGACTTTCTACCTCTCGATAATTTCACATACATATCCAGGTGTTGGGGTCATCTACCTTGTCCTACATCTCACGACATGGCTCCTCGCTGAGAAATGTGGTCTAAAAGGCTTCGAGTCGGGTCAATACGGGACACCACCTTCGTTCGTTTACTGGCTGAAGCAGGCCACCGTTTACGTCTTCTCATTGATGACCATGAAGCTGCTGGTTGTTGCCTTGTTCGCTGTATGGCCTGGTATCTTCAAGATCGGCGAATGGTTGCTGGACTTCTTGGGACCAAGCGACGAAATTCAAGTGATTTTGTGCGTCCCCTCTCCCGCTCATACGGTTCTCCCTTTCCTAATCATGCTGCAGCACCATGGGCCTGTTCCCCATTATGATGAACATCATCCAGTTTTGGCTCATCGACTCTATCGTCAAGTCGTCCCAGGCAGCCTCCGTTGCTTTGCCCGCCCTCACGCCCCGCTCCTCCATCGACGCAGACGCCGAACCGCTCTTCCGTGCATCTCTCTCCTCAGAGGAGGACGACGACGACGGTCGTTCTCCTCGATACGACATCGAGAACCCACACCCGCAATCGCGTTCACATTCCCGCGACGATATCCCTCCGACACCGTCGGACGAGCCCAAGTCCTTCAGTTCCGGCACTGCTACTGTCACGGGCTCTGGCTCGACGACGCCTGCGCCCAAGGCGATCGACATCGCTGTGGCGCCAGCGCTGCACGCGTACCCGCCGAGCCTCGTCGGCAGCAGTAGCAGCGCTAGTGCATCCCCGCGTTCCTCCATTCGCACTAAGAGCACCTCCCCGCGCCCGTGGCGGCGGCGAACGCGCTCTCCCCCACTAGCAGTCCCGCTGCGGCCGCTTTCCCCGCCAGGGAACGGTGAGCAGCCATCGATCTCACAGACACTGAGCGAGGCAGAGCGGCGGCAGCAGCTTGTACAGGGACAAGCTGTGGATGAAAAGGAGTGGACAGCATGGGGAGAGGAGGGGGATGACTGGGCGGATAGGGCAGGAGAGGACTGGACTGAACCGCCGTTGGACACGCGAAAGACAGAAGTGGATAATGTGTGGACAAGACAGGGTGGTGTCGTTGGTTCATGATATATATTAGCATGGACAATTATCTTGCGTTGTACTCTACACATATTTAATCACCATGTAGACACGACAGATTCATCACGGCAGGCCTATGTTCGAGGCGCACTGGCAAGAGAAGCGACCACCGGCACTCGAGTCACTTTATCACAGTTTTGTAATCGATATATTCATCACTGTGTATACGGTCCAGCATAGGGCAAGACAATCACAGTCTAACCAACGAGCACACTTGGGGATACCATAACGCATAATAGTACACGACATAGCAAACGAGAGGACGGGACAATACAGCATATACGACATGAGTGACTATAACCGAAGGAATGATACATACTAGCGCCTGGAGTGATTGGAGTGATTGGACGGGGAACGGTGCGGGTCGTACATGGGCGAAGGCTCTTGTCCCCAGCCGTTGCGATCAGCATGCACTTCCGTGTACACGAGCTTGCGGCTAGAGCCCGAGGGAAGAGGACTCTCGTCTGAGATCCGACCTGAAGAGCCTGAGGACATAGTTGGGGCCATGGGTCTACCCGAATATCCCGGATGGGGACGTGGTGGAGTGCGGACATCGACGGGATTGGGAGACAACATCATGGCAAGAGAAGGAGAGAGACCTTGACTTGTGCGAGGTGCGGGCTGAGGCGTGTGGGATGCCTGGCGACGTTTGGGCGAACGAGGTGCAGGCGAATATGGCACTGGAGGCACACGCTCATCAGGTGGAGGCATTTCATCGGGGTACTTTCGCTTGCGAGAAGGCTGCGGCGTTGCTTGCGGAGTGATATGCGAACTTGGATGGGGAGACCGCAGATGATCTGGGGGTCTTGCCAACGGAGGCGGGGCTGTTGCACCTGCATTGCTCCATAATTGATTCGTCCAGGGAGGTGGCGGAGGGTTACTGGCACCTGTGGAAGCTGGTCCACGCCCATTCTCAATTACGACCGGAGGAGCTGGTCGGTGAGAGCTGTGCGGATGGGGCACATTTGTGTGTGAGGAGTGGGGACGCACTGCGTGCTCCGGTGCCCGGGGCGTACTACTTGGTGACAATTTCCTAGGCCCCACATTCTCTGGCACTCCAGGAACGAAACGGATGAGTTCAATGAACAATGTCTGTGTGTAAGGTGGCGGTAACCTCATATAGATCATGTCTTTGCTGAAGGTTTCTAACATCTCCCGAGTATCAACATACATTTCCTGGGCAGGGTTGTCTTGAAGACAGTCAGTCAGGCCTTCAGCATGGAGGGGGCGACTTACCGATATGTCGCACTCGGACTTCCGAATAAGGATAAGCCCTGTTCTTGCGGATGCAACACAGAGGGCACATGAAGCGCGGCCGGGTCGCATTCATAGGGTCCAGCGGATAGAACACACACCCAGCGTGGTACAACTTGCTGCACAACTCGCACTCGACGGGATGGTATCCCGCAAGATATGGCGTACGACCTCTGCAGATGCAACGAGTCCCGTCGGTCCAATCTTTGTCGACATCTTGTCCGAACGTAAACTTGGGCCGTCTTCGCTTCTTGACGCGAACGGGAGCGGGTTGGCCGGCTAGTATGCGGTGTAAACCAGCAAGATCGAGCCCAAACGAAACTTCCGGATTCGGAGACACTGCGAACTGGATGCGGTAAAGCTTACGCATGTAATGACGTACTTGTGGTATGTAGTCGGCACGTTGATTCACAGGCTGTGAAGCGAAGGACAGGAATTGGCCGATAACCTGCGACAGCCGATCGACGCGATGGACAATGATTTCGAGCTGCTTCCAGTCCTCTGAGTAGTTCTTAGTGACATCCGGCGCGTGCATGAGAATTGTCGGAAGGTAACACCAGTGCCAGGAACGCTCCTTGTGAATTGTACCGTTCCAGTGATGATGATCACAGAACGGACACGAGCCTCCGTTGGCAGCGCAAACTCCGTGGAACCTGGCGAAACAATGGTCGCACTGAACTGCATCTGACACAGTCCCTGCGGCAGGTGGACGGACGGGGGTGGTACAGATACAGGTGAAGTACTCATCGTTGGGGGGCAAATCGTCTTCAGGTCGAGTGGACTCGATGACATCCTCGAGAATTGCCTGCCCATGGGCCTCCTGATGCTGTCTGCAGTACCACGGTAGACCCTCCAGCCACCTGGCGTGCTGTACCAACTGCTTGTCGAGCTTGTCAAAATTCAACAAAGTGAACATTGTGAGATGCTCCTTTGCATACTTGCGCCACTGAAGCATTGTTTGGAAGATGTCGCCTTCGTCTGTGTGTTCATATCGGTTCTTGAGCACTGCGTCACATCGTGCCTCGAGGTCCAGAGCGAAGTCGACGGTCCGCTTCAAGTCCTGGACGGCAGGGATATTGAAGTCCTTCTCCGCACGAGTGACAAGCTTTGCAGCCTCTTGAACCTTGGGCTTGACGGCGTTGGGCTCCGGCATCAACCAAGCCTTTGCCTGCTTTTCGTAGTCTTTCGCCCGAACAAGAGTCGCAACGAGGCGGTCGACGAGCTCGACATCGACGGGGACAGAGCTGCGGCCTTGCGCGGTTTCGTCCAGCTCTTCGACAGTCTTCAGCGGGCGGCCGAGGACGTCCTTCACGCGGGCCTCCCACTCCTCCCCTGCGTGGAGCATTCGGCTCAAAACCACCATTTGCGGATTGTCTGTGGAGAGCTCGCACTGGCTTGCGCGCGCGGCGAACTGCCTGATGTCCTCCAGTGAGAGTTGACCATCCTCCAGCTCTTCCTCTAGCTCCTTGAGAAGCTGTTCTCGAGAAACGATCTTCTCGATCTCTACGAGTTCATCCACCAGAACATTAAGCGTCGAGCCCTCGATGAGCAGCCGCTCGCACTCCTGTACGAATGCCTCTCGGTCACGAGCAGCACTACTAGGACGAAGCAATGCACGCGCTTTTTCGCGCGTCTTCTGGGCCTCGTTGGCGAGGGCCTTCAGCGCATTGATTTCCTGACAATCGAAACCGAGATCTTCTACTTCGCTAAGCGCGGTGTACAGCTCGTCGAGCGTCCGCTCAGGCTTGTCGGTGACTTCCTCGCCAGTAATCTCTCCTGATGGACCTGAAGTACGTCCGCGTGACTTGCGAGCGCGCTTCCGGCTGACCTTGCGTATGAGGAACGAGTTCGCAGTGTCGACCCATTCGTTCGCGCGCACCACGCATTTGCGCAATGCATGCAGCTCCGACAGCGGGTAATTTATCCGCTCGCCTTCCGCCATCAGCGCACGCAGACTACGAAGCGACGGGCGAGCGCTTTCCATCAACAACCTATCCAACTTTGCACGCCAGGTGGAAGGGATGGCTGCGCGGTCCGACACCTTCATCTGGATGTCCTGGATCTCCGTGTCGTCAAACCGCAGCCGCAAGTAGCGATTAGTCATTGGGCACTTGCACAGCTCGTCGATGTGATCGACGCACACGACCTTCGTGGTGCAATCACACGTGATCTGCGATAAGTAGCAGAATACCTTGCAGAAGGAGCATTGGTATTGGTCCTCGGGTCGATCCGTCTTCTCTGGCCTATCCTTTAGCCCGAGAGATCGGGCCTTATCCCGAATTCGTCGTTCGCGTACCATCATTTCCTGGAGGTTATCATTCAACCTGACAAATCCGAGTGAGATAGGCATACTAAAGATGCAAAGTTAAAACATACCACAATGCGGTCTGAATAGACTGGTTCTGTTGCGTGATGGTGATGAGTAGTTCATCGTGCGAGAACACAGGCAGCTTCCGGTGCTCCTGGTAACGTCTCACACAATCGAGATCGAAAGGCAACCAGTCTGGAAGCGCAAAATTCACGGCTTCATTGAAGTTGAGCTGTGTCGCGCGACAGACGTTCGCGGAGCGGAAATAAACACGAGATCCAGATAAGCGGCGAGCTGACTCCGACGTACCCCATGATTGAACCCTGCATGGTATGCCTTCGGGAATGTGATGACGAATTCCCCCGCCCGCTGGTTGCATGCATAGACGTCCACGCCCGCATCCCGGATTCGGTTGGGGTTCATCAATGTTACTAGCTGAAATAGGAGGTCTGGCTGCACTTCAAATAGATCCGGGGCCTCTCGCCGTATAGCTGCCTCAAATTTGTCGGCGTCGGCGCCCGGGATGCTGTACCACGTCTTCGTCTCGCCCCAGTGCACTAAAATAGGCATTTAACACGGTCAGATGCCTTCCTATATGCGCAAAAAAAACTCACTATAGTTGATACTGTACGTGTAGTGATCCTATCATGTCGTAAATCAAGGGGGGTCATCGTCAGAGAGAATGCGGTGACATACCTCGTTGTGCCAGCAGAAAGTCGAGAAGACCATGCCGACGTATGTCCACGGTACAGTCATCCCAGAAATATCCGACTTAATGTATCGCAAGAGCGAATCCGGCAAGATCGGAATATTGTTCAAATTCCATGGGTCCTTGGAGGACGACTCGAGGGGATGGGTCTCCAGCGTCGGCATACCGCTGTGCAACACCCTAGTCAATGTTCGTCATTAAGTACCACCGAATAGGGGCCGACCAACCTGCCATGTGTTGTCGAGTGCACATCAGCGCCATATTCGACCTCGACCGTCTCGTGTTGCGACTGCACAAGCCGCCAAAATTCGTTCTCCACGTCGGTCTCCGTCACGACGACATCGTCAAAGACATTGATTCTGGGGTCATCGGGATCGAGAGGCGCTGCCATCTTGACATCGCCATCGTCATTACCCTGGCGCCCCGCCGGTGGGTGCCTCTTGAACCACTGCCGCCGGAATTCGAGGTCACGCGCTTGGAAGCTGGACAGACTGTGCTCTTCGCCCTCGTCGAAGCCGAAATCAGCGCCCGTGCCGCAGAGACAGGTGTGACAAAACCATTGCCCCTTCGGGATCGTTGTCAACGGCGGGTCAAGGCAAAACATGTGGAAGCCTGACAGATGCCGCTCCATGATTTTACTGAACGGATCGGAACATAAATGAGGGCTGGCTCACCACAGTCGCATCCATCGCAGAGCAGCATCTCGGTTTCGTGATCTTTCCTCAAGCAGATCTCGCAATCAAGCTATGGTTTAAATTACTACGCACGTCAGTACAGGTAGTAAAAATAGCTGACCTCAGTAGTCAAGGCAGTGCCTTTGCCTTTCTCTAGGCGCGGAAGAGTTGATGGTAGCACGTCCTGCGACCCAGACGCCTTGCGGGCAGCTTTTTTCATCGCCATTCAGCCGTGAGATATCGAGGGAAAAGTACAGAAGGCACTCACAAGCAGACTGGTCGTGGGGGCTGTGTCGAGTGTTCCTACGCATTCGCGCTACGGCGCCACGACCCCTGCCTGCATTCTTAGACTCACCCTCGTCAGATGGGTCAGACAACGGGCTCGATGTCACGGTCAGGGGACTCGGCGGGGGACTGTCATTATCATCGCCCGCCGATGTGGCGCTCAAGCGGCGGAGCTTGCCGGCTGTCTGAATGTTTGTGTTTGTGTTCAGCTGCGAGTCCCGTGGTTTGTTCGGAGAGAGGGTGGAGGATTTACTGACGCGTTCGCGGTAGTGCTCGTACGGCAAAATAACACGGGTGTATGAATTCTTCATCTGCGTAGATAGGCCAGGGATTCCGCTATAGCCAAGCAGGCGACCGAGATCTGCCCATTTCTTGTTCCTAGTGACCTGAAAATTCGATGCGCGGTGGCGATAATCAATTTGAAGCATGACGTGGATGGATTAGAAAGAAAATCGCACCATTTCATAACCGCCCTGTTTCTGCACCTCCTTGCGTAGCAACCATAAGTCTAGAGGCTTGTGATTGATTGTAGGCACAACGACCCGTGGATTCCCCTGCTGCTTGTGGAACCGATAAAGCTGCTCCAAATAATTCACCTTTGCTCGGGACGAGGCCTCGATCGAATTCAGACGTTGTAGCCGTGTCTTGAAACGGAATCTCTGACGTGGAAATAAATGACCGAGAGAAATAGCCGCAACGGCGGATTCTACATACCTCAGTGTCGGTGACGAAGGGCATTTCCCACCCCAGCGGCGGCACAATTTTACACATCCCATATGCTTTGGCTTTCTCAGAAATGGACTTGATATATGCGAGTGGATCCTTGAACTGCTCTAGGGTCGGGCGAAAAACTGGACAATCTGTGAGACCAAATGGGCGCTCGACATTCTGCGGCGCCTCCCACTGGCGGTTGGGGGTCTTCACCGTCGACATATCAAGAGCAGGCTTTACTGGAATCGGTGGACCTTCCCGCAGATTAATTTGGATTGCTCCATCTTCATTGACCATATCTGCGAGGTCTTCTTGACCAGAAGATTGGGCATGACTCTGGAGGGCCGCAATTGCGTCGGTCTTCGACTTGCGTGGCGCCCTCTTCGAATCTGAGCCCGATGCTTGAGCCGACGCGTCGCCATTCCCGTTTGCGGATGTAATTTCGAGACGCTCGATCGGAACAGCACCCTCGACAGAGATGGAGAGACATGTCGTAAATGTATTGGGAGGTTTGGCAGAATTTTGGACGGGCAGTGCGATACCACCGGGGCTGGCTGTAGATGACCGGGGCGAGCGACCTCGACGAGCGGGAGTACCGCGCGAGGGAGGGCTCCCATGCATGGTGGTCGTGGTAACAGAGTCCGGAGGAAGAGAGAGCGCCTCGCGCTGCGAGGCCGATGGGCGGTCCTTCAATATAGCCACTCCAGCTCTTCTTCCGCGTGGGAATATATATCGTCGCGGAGTTCGTCCTCCCACGCCGATCATGCCGGCTACATCCTCGCGGCCTTCCCTTTTCTACGCTTTCACCTGTCCCTCCCGAAATCCCCCTGATTTCCCTCCAATATGCCTTCCGACCAGCAGAGAAACAGGGAAAGGGGCGGGCTGTGCCTTCCCAGGGCGTAATGCCCCCGATCACGATACCAGATCGGTCTGGATCTGATACTCCTCACGGGAGCATCAGACACCGCGGTACACGTGCCACCACATTGTGGGTGCTTGCCCAATCGAGTCATTGAGTTATATGAGTCATATTGTTGAGCTCCAACGCGTCCACTCTTCCTACGTTGTTTATTGCTCTTCAGCACACCCTTGCGCACACACAACGCATCAAAATTACACGATCTACAAGTTCGAGCCATCAATCTGACGAGCGTCTTTCCTCATCCGTGCCCTTCGCTCGTGATCGATGTGACGGTGTCGCCGATGATGTTTTCCTTCCTCCGCCACCGTGCTCCGCCACCCCCCAAATGCTAAAGCGCCGATCGGGCAATCGCCCCAGATACGCTGTACGCTGGTCGCCGTTATTCTCGTACAAGCAAATGGGTTATTGCTCAGATAGACTTTCAAGCAGCACGGATCATTCCGGGTCTCACCTTCATGTTGACAAGCGCTGTCTCGTGCGGTCTCGCTCGTACACACTACTGTCTCAGGGCCAATGTAAAAGTCGTATCACTATGGTGAAGGCGCATGTGGACCTCTTCTCGACATATCTTCGCCTTCAAGATTAGTGGACACACCTTTTGGAACGAACGCAGTGAGACCGACCTTGGCCATGCTAATTTGTAAGCCTAACAGCGACTAAGGATTTATGGATACTTCCTAAGGACCTACCATTGTCCAGTAATCTACGAAAATCGTCCCTATAAGGCTCGTATTTCAATTGTCTGCTCTCTTGCTCATAGGTGAGCAGCAAGCGGACCCTGACAACGCAATTGTCTTTCGTCTGAGCATTGGACGACCGTATTGGCTCCGCGATTATTATCGTATACGTTCCGGGAATGCACAGACCAAATGACAATACCAGTTGACGACATCACGATGGCATGTCAGACTTCGTGGCCAGTCCCCCCTCTTCTCCGCATGCCCGAGTGTCCTACGGATACGCGCTGGCCATGCGTCGAAGCCTTGTATTTTCTGGTCACACGTCAAATACATGCGAGCTGGCCAGACCGCTGTTGTTCTGCGCACTGAAAGCAAGAAGTACATATGCCTTTGCATGATAGCCGCCATGGCCATGCAATAGACGATATGGCTGCGCACATTGTTCCCGCCTATACCGAAAACTCCTTGCTCGCGGCGCTTGCCAGTGGCTATCTCAGGCCAACGCAGATATCCGAGATACTCCCGAGAGCCCCGGCTTAGCGTGCGTGTACAGTCGCGTACTCAATCTGAAATCCTCGGTGTTCTTCCTCGATATTTCCCATATCGGCGGCAGCACTCATCTGAAGGGTTCTCCCCAGGCCTCCTCCGGTCCCCGTCCTGAACAGAGACCTGTGATGAGCGCTCCCGTTAGCGGATCTAGCCTTACACATACCCCGGGTTTCCATCTGTTTCGCCACCACCTCCCTCCTCTGCGAAGCCCTGCAGCTGGCCCTGTGGTGGGGAAAGTCGCTCTGAGGACAGAAGAATAACGTCCATGAATACGGTCTCCTTTTCAAAATTATTTTCCTTTCTTATTCTGCGTTGCAAACGGTCAAGCATGAAAGTATGCACGTGTATCTGTCCTCTCCCACTCTAGGGCTTGCGAAGACGGCTTCGAAGGGAAGATGAAGCAGCGGGCTCGAGGGTGCCGGCGTCGTCACGCATCTGAGGACGGCAGATAGTGTGACGCGTCGGGGCATCACTTTCGAGTAGCCGAGTCATACCCAGTTGTGGATTCGAGCTGACGATGTCGAGTCTAGCTTGTCATTGACCGGGACGGGGCCTCTACCTCGGTTAGGAAGGCGTTTACCCTTTTTAGAAATTGTCTTGATCGGTCTCGTTTATGTGCGTCATTCTCCTCTCAAGTCGTGTCTGATGTCATACCTGTCAACACTGCATCGCACTCTTATAAACCGATGTGGTCGTCAAAAAATGCAACTTCCCTCTCTCCCCAGAACCCCCATCTTCTCTTCTACTCTTTACTCGCTTACCCTTGCACATTAGCCATATCATTTGATCGGTATATAGACGAGGGACCAGTACGTCGCGCGTACAAGGTAAGCACTCGTGTTGATTGAGTAATATCGTGCGTTGTCACCCGGACACGCTTCGTGAGTCCGTATTGTGTTTTATCGTGTTCGTGCGTTATCATTCGGATACGCTTCGTGTTTTCGCATACAGGTCGTCGTTCGAGCACACTTTGTGTTTTACTGTCGTCTCGTACGCGCGCATACAGTCAGATCACGCGGCCTTTCATTCTCTTTTCGTTAATCTAGCTAGTCGACAAGTCTTCGACACCTTTTCGACCAACTTCGGACAACGCTCTGCACTACGCTTTTACAGCGCTGGTCTCGATGTCTGTCGATTGGATACATCGATGTCAATATCTTGGATGATAATATTATATACTCTTCTAGGAGAGATAAGACGTGAGCCCCCGTTGTCTAATGGCTATGACGTCAGACTTCTAATCTGGAGGCTGCGGGTTCGAGTCCCGCCGGGGGTATTCGGTTACACAAATGGGCTCATCGTTTTTTTCCGAAGCTACAGTAAGCCCTTATCACTTATGTACCATGAACCCATAAATCATAGATCTATTCTACAGAGTAGTGTCGCATCGATGGCGGAACCACTCACGAGGATCGTACTATGGCTATCGACGAGTACAATAAGCCAGATAGCGACAAGTTCATCTTCCTCCTCACTACGCGTGCTGGTGGCCTTGGCATCAATGTGACTACCGCGGACATTGTCGTGCTCTACGACAGCGATTTGTGAATTGTGTTATCTCTAATGCCGTGAGCTTCAATCCGAAACATACTCGCTCTAGGAATTCCCGGGCCGATTTGCAGGCCATGGATCGTGCACACCGTATTGGCCAGACCAAGCAGGTCTACGTCTTCCGATTCATCACCGAGGGCAGCGTGGAGGAGCGTATGCTTGAGCGTACCGCTCAGGCATTGCGTCTAGATCAGCTTGTCATGCAGCAGGGTCGCATGCAGCACACAAAGGGTACGATCACAGTGCAGTCTTCTCCATATACGACAACTTACCCGTTATAACCGTCAGCGGCGAACAAAGAGGACCGTCTTGAGATGATTGCGCATGGTGCCGAAACCATGGTAAACTCGAGTAAGTCCATGTGCTCGCATCTTACGCTCTGAGTTGACATTCAACTAGCCAGATGATCAACGATGATATCGAAGCTATCATTCAGCGAGGCGAAGCGCGGACGACCGAGCTCAACTCTAAGTATGAAGGGTTGACCTTTGAGGATCTCAATGGGAGGGCGAGGACTTCCGTGCCGGAGTGAGTGATCTCTTCCTGGGACACGCACAGAATATACTGATCGAACTGGGTTTGCAGCAGCGGAAAGCTCTGCAGTTCAACCCTTTGGCGTTGTCCAAGTGCAAGCGGAAGCTTAACTACTCGGTCGACAGTTACTTTAAGGAGACGATGCGAGCCGGACCCTCAAAGACCGAGAAGGCACCTAAGATGCCTCGGGCACCGACACGGATTCAAATGTAAGTACGATTGCCTTCCCTCGGCCATCGTTGTTCCCTAACCATCAGTGCAGGCAAGACTTCCAGTTCTTCTCATCACGACTCGCCGAGCTCCAGAAACAGGAGCTTGCTGCGCACAAGGTCAGTACTTTGATGGAAGTTCCTCGGTATGCCCGTTTCACCTTTTTTCTTTTGCTGGCAGCGGGCGAACGATATCCCCGCTACTTTGCGTGAACCTGGTGGTCCCGAGGACACGCCAGAGAAGCTCGAGGCCGAGCGACTGGCAGCCCAGCAGTCCATCGACATCGATCAGTCAGTCGTTGCGTACTATGTTGTTCCTTCATTGACTTGTAATACCTCAGTCGAGCCGCTCACAGAGGAGCAGCAGCAGGAGAAGGAAGAACTGGCTGCCGAGGGCTTTGAGGATTGGAGTAAGCATGACTTCCAGCAATTCATCCGTGCCTCAGAAACATATGGATGGTGAGTTTCTGTCTGGAATGTCTCGGCGTACTTTAACCAGCCGCATGCCTTAAAAGGACGGATGACTGAGCTGCTCGCGTTTGGAATCCAGGACAAGACATCGGATGAGGTAGCTGCGTACTATCCAGTCTTTGAGAAGAAGTGGAAGGAGCTTGCCAGTGCGTGACATCGAATGTTGCAAAGCTCCCTCAGCCTAAGTTTGCGTATCCTTAGAGTATCCTCGTATGAAGGCTCGCATTGAAGAAGGGGAAGCAAAGCGTCACAAGTGGTCAAACCTCGAACAATTGCTATCGAAGAAGATTGCGACTGTGCGATAGCCCATGCAGGAGCTAGAATTCACAAATGGTAAGGAGAACTCGTAAGAGGAGGACAGGTATCTCCTCTGCCGACTAAACCACTACGGCGTGCGCGCAGAGCACATATACGAAAGGATCAAGAAGGATATCACAGAATTCCCCGTCTTCCGCTTCGATTGGTTCTTCAAGAATCGGAGCCCACAAAAGCTGCAGCGTAGGTGCAACGCGTTGCTGGGTATGATTGAGAAAGACGCCGAGCAGAAGCAAGCCGAGGAGATCAAGACAAAGGGACCGAAGGGCAAGGTCAAGCCTTGCTGAATTATGGAAGGTCTTCGGCGTTATAGCTGACATATATCACGTCGTTATAGAAGAGGGGCATCGAAGCGGTGGACAAGTCGGAAGAGAAGAAACCCTCACGATCGTCAACGCCCACCGGTACGGCCGCAGCGCCTGCTCCGAACAAGCGTGCCTACAAAAAGAGGAAGATACAGACTTGTTGCACTACATGAACCCGCGAGCTTCGAGTCCGACGTACGGGAGACGTCTTTCCTCTTGTCATATATCCTGATGGTCGCGGGATAGAGATTTTTTCAGTAGTGGGAGACAGGTTTCTGAGCTCGCAAGTGGATAAGAGTTGGCAAGATGGGATCGTCGGAAGCGAAGAGGTGGCGGGGAGTTGGATAATCCAATGGCTAGCCTGAGGTAGAAGGAGACGAGTTTACGATCTCGTCAGAGCTCCGAGTATGCGGACTAAACAGATCGGCGCTCGGGAGAGGACAGCTATTCAGTGCCTCCCGCGAATTCAAGGGTTTCACAAAAGATTTACTGCAGTCTTATGCTACACAGGTAGGCAACTCTATGAACCCACGCTTCACCCAATGTTCACTTTTTTTTGAATGCGATGGTTTAGACTCCGTACAACATGGTACATGCAGAGTAATAACGAGCACGTCAGACAGGCCCTCAGCACCCCCTCTCAGCATCCTGCAGTCTCCGATTCCGCCACCCCTCGCCACAACCACCCACAGGGACCCAATTTTCACTTAACCCCGCCTGAACCTGCACCTAACCCGGGGACAAAAAGTCAGATTCCCGCCCCAGGTTAGCTGCCGGCCCACTTGAGCCAGATTCATTTCGCGTTGCGTGAGTAGATAATGTCATTTGGGATCGCAAATCAGTCAAATCAGATAAGCTTCCTGCCTGTGCCAAATTGCCCTGATGCCTGCCCCGGCACTCGTTTTGGTCCACCCCGGTCAGTGATCCGGTCCCTAGCTGCCAGAGATCCTGTACCACCTGCCGCACAATCCTGTCATGAGTAGAGTGCACTCCTGTCCACACATTTAAGAACAGCTCACCCCCTTCATCAAATATTATGCCTGTTGGACTATTCAAATCCTCCAGATAACCCCTACATATTAAAAATACTACATGTAGTATGTCACATCCTGTATCACATGTCTCATCTTGCTTGGGTGTCCTCTCGGGTGAATGCCAGTAGGCCAACATGCGTGAGAACCAGTGACTGTCGCCAATTAGTCAGGTTTAAGAACCATTTATAGAAGTCTAAGTGGGGCATCTGCTGTAGCTACCCTTGATATCAAATGTGTAGCCTCACTGGTGGCTTGATATTTGATTGGGTGGTCATTGAGAAATAGAATAAATGTGATACAACGGTCTTTACTCCTATATCGATGCCTGACTCGTAGACGACGAGCGAGGACTTATGGACAGTGCGTCGTCCTGAAGATCGAGCGAGGGAGTCGAGAATGACCACTACCCCAAGCGAAGAGGAGCAGAGACTTGAATGAATAACCAGGTCGAACTTAGGGTTCGACCAACTAATGGTACAACTACTTATACAAGTACCGACTGCGCACGGACCATCGTGTCTATGTGGTCGTGTTAGTGAAGAAAGAAACGTAGTGGTACGATGCCGAGTACGAAGTGCGCACGGACCCCATTATGTAAGCTACATAATGTTCAACCTGTGGGTGAGCGCTAAGACAGGCGCCAGTATGGGCGCTAGTAGTACAAGGAATAGAGTGAAAAGACAAATGTTTCATCCCTAGCCTTGAACTCGAGCTTTGCTCATTGATCACTTCAGTCAATACCCAGTCAAACACCCCTGGGCTTTTGGTTTGTTCATTTCCCTGTCGCTTGACTTCAAGTCACGACATTGAGTTTGGCAAATACTTCAGTGGGATTGTCAAGAAGAAGAGTTAGCAACATTTTATTGGCAACATGGGAATGCTTAGGGGTGTATATGAAAAGCTTCTTGCCGCCTTCAGTGGAGGGAGCATTGATTGAGAAACAAGAGGGTAGACATGTTGATACAAGTTAAGATGTAGCAACTTGACAGAGCTGCTACCATTTCAGCTCAGGTTCTTCCTTCTTTTGTAGTCAAGGAGGATTTTCCCCGCAGTTCCCACCGAGTTCTTTGTGGGTTTCCATGAGTCATTAGTGGATGAGTAACCCTTCCACCTGATTCAATACTTGTGGTATTGTTCTCCCGATGTTTAATGATGGCTTTTGAAACATTTGTTTTTCTGTTCTATTCCTTGCACTACTAGCACCCATACTGGTGCCCGTCTTAGTGCTCACCCACAGGTTGAACATTATGTAGCTTACATAATGCGGTTTGTGTGCACTTCATATCTGGTATCGTACCACTATGTTTCTCTCTTTACTAACATGACCACATAGACACGATGGTCCGTGTGTAGCCAGTACTTGTATAAATAGTTGTACCATTAGTTGGTTGAACCCTAAGTTTGACCTGGCTACCAATTCAAGTCTCTGCTTCTCTTCGCTTGGGGTAGTGGTTATTCTCAACTTCCTTGCTCGATCTTCCGGACAATGCACTGTCCATAAGCCCTCACTTGTTATCTATGAGTCAGGAATCAACATAGGAGTAAAAACTGTTGTATCAGACCCCTGATAGAATTAATTTTATAGGAGTGGTTATGCTTTATAGCTCTGTATAGTGGTTTAAAAGATTTGTATGGGTTTGATTCTTCCAGTTGACTTTCCAGTATAGGACAAAATATGAAATGAGGGTTATTTGCTTCCAATATCAATGTTCAGGTGCCAAACACTTCTGGCCCGTGACAATGTCTAAAGGTGGACATCGGTAGGGGTGTGGGTAGGGAAAGGTATGCAGTGAGGATGGTGTGCGGGATGAACTTTGTGTGTTGTGCACAGATAGTACATGGTAGGAGTGGTTGAAATTGGTTAGCCACCTGCAAATTATTGAGGTGGATAAGCTTAGTAAGTACACAGTCATCCTGCTCGTGGAGCAATCATTTGTGGTGATTGATCACATCATTAGCCACCTTGACGTGTTTGTCATATTCGAGGCAGGCTGATAGGTATGCCTCCAACACAGCTTGGTTAGTGGTGTTCATTACCTTGGGGTTGTGAGCTTTGAGCTTGTTGAAGACTTCGGTGGGATTGTTGAGAAGAAGGGTTAGCAATGTCTTATCAGCAACATGGGAGTGCTTAGGGGTGTAGATTGCAATTTTCTTGCTGCCCTTGGTGGAGGGAGCATTGAACTGGTTGAGGAAGGAGAGGGTAAACATGTTGATACAAGTGGGGGTGTAGCGACTGGGTAGAGCTGCTGTTGACTTAGTTCAAGTTCTTCTTTGTCTTATAGTCATCTAGGATCCTATCTGCAGTTCCTGCCAAGTTCTTTGCAGGTTTCCATGAATTGTTAGTGGATGAGTAACTCTTCCACCTGACTCTGTACTGGTGGCATTGCTTCTGCTTGTTCTCCTGATGTCCAATGATGGCTTTGACCTCATAGTTATCTTCACCTTTGATAAGGTCAGGAGGTGGCCTTGCATAGTTCAGACCATGGATCTCCATCTCTGAATAAGGAGATAGAAGCCATCCGTGGAAAACGGGGTGGACTCGCCAGGTGCTAGGGAGGTCTAGCTTGTATGTGACTGTCCTGACCTTGTCTAGAACTTTGAACGGCCCTTCTCGCCTTGGAGCTAGCTTCCTGGATGGGTATAGCAGCTTCAAGTTCTGGGAGTCTAGCCATACCAGCTGACCTTTATGGAAGGAACCCCCCTTCCTTTTTACTTTCTTGGCCAGAATGTTCTGGGCCATCTCCATTGCCGCATGTGCTTCTTCATGGATGTTTTGCAAGTCCTTGTGTCGCAACTTGAGATCAAGCGACAGGGGAAAACCTAACAAAGCACTGGGGGTGTTCGACTGGATTGACCAAAGCAATGGTGAGCATGCTCAAACCTAAGGCTAGGGACAAGAGGTTGAAACTGAGGTCCCTAGGGCAGCAGAGGCTGGCTTATATACAGGGGAAGATAAGGGCAGGCCATGCACACTGGTCCATGTGCAGCTGGTCCGTGCACAGCATGCTGATGCAGCCCCAGGGGCCAGTAAGTCAGGGCAGCTGTGTTAGCGGAGCCTGAGCTACGTCACGCACTGCCATCCCATCTAATCTAATTGTACAGTAGATAATGACTTGTTCATTCGAGTGTATAGCACAGAGGTTGCAGGTTCAAGCCTGCGAAAAGGAAAAAATTAAAAAACAGCTAGATGCTGTACCAACTCGTGACACCTTGAGGTGATAAGCCGCTTGTGGCATGTTTGATCCAGGGTGAGTGGTGGGTATTCCATGAGGTTTGTATCCCATCATGAGTTTGAATGGGGATGCCTTCATTGTGGAATGCTTGCGGGAGTTGTGAGCAAATTGTGCGGTGTGAAGATGGTCAGCCCACTTATCTGGATTATTGGCAGTGAAGCAGCGGAGGTAGATCTCCAGCTCCTGGTTCACTCGCTCTGTCTCACCATCAGTTTGCGGGTGGAATGCCGTACTCATGGCTGATTGAACTCCCGTCATTTTGCAGAGTTCCTGGAAGACTTTGGACATGAATTGCGGTCCTCGGTCACTGATGATTTTGTTTGGGAGTCCAAACCACTTGTAGACCTCTCAGTACATTGCGTCTGCCATTCCAAGAGCATCAATTGTTTTGTTACATGGGATGAAAATTACCCCCTTTGTAAGGTCATGGTCCACTACAACCAAAATTGAGTCGAAGTCATTGGATGGTGGCAAATCAGTGATATAGTTGCATGAAAAGGTGCTGAACGGCTTGGCATTTGCGTAAGGTTGAATGGGGGTGATGGGTGGATGGGCTGGATGCGTGTTGACCTTCATTTGCTGGCAGATGCCACAGCCGTTAATATAGCGAGCAACAAACTGGGCCATGCTCAGCCACCAGTAGTCACGGCGCAAGCTAAGGAGGGTTTTCTGAATGCCGGGGTGTCCTGCGGAGGGGAGGTCGTGATAGTGGGAGACAAGACGTTTGCGAAGAGACTCATCTGGGGGTACATAGACCCAATCCTGATACAGGAGGAGGTCATCATTGATGGACCAGTCCGTTCCGGTGCACAGAGTTCCCCTGCTGTGTGCCGCAGTTAGGCCTTCCTTCATTATAGGGTCATCCTTAAAGGAAAGGATGATGTCGCGGGTGTCGATGTTGATGGCGGCCACCCATACTTCTGGTGGGAGCATGATGACGTTGGTGTTGTCATTAGAGCTGTCGTTGTGGTCAGGTCGGCACAAAAGAGCATCGCTTTGCACCATCTGGGTTCCTGCAATGTGTACAAGGCAGAAGTCAAACTCAGTCAGTTTACTTTCCCAACGTGCTTGATGGCAGTTCATGTCCTTGGTTTGTTTCTGAGATGTGAGATTCCTGTGATCGCTGAGAATTGTCACTGGGTATGGGCTGCCAATGAGGTAGTGTCTCCACTCATCTAGAGCATGGACTACTGCGTATAACTCTCTGTTGTAGATGTTCTCATTTCTCTCTGCTGCATTGAGGCTTTGAGTGTCACAAGTTGACATGATGTCTAGCCATTTTTTAATTTTTTTCCTTTCTGCGAGGGCTCGAACCCGCGACCTCTGTACTGTACGCTCAAATGGACAAGCCTCACCGGCATATCACATTCTCCTGTAGATTAGATTAGATAGGATGGCAGTGTGTGACATAGCCCAGGCTCCGATGACACAGCTGCTATGACTCACTGGCCCCCAGGGCTGCGTTAGCATGCTGTGCACGGACCAGCTGTGCACGGACCAATGCGCAAAGCCTACCCTTATCTTCTCCTGTATATAAGACGGCCTCTGCTGCCCTAGGGACCTCAGTTTCGACCTCTTGTCCCTAGGTCAGTAAGCTCCCTTTGTATCTTTTCCTTACTTCACTAACTAATACACTATCTTGTCCCTAGCCTTAGGTTTGAGCATAGCTCACCATCGCTTCGGTGAGACCCAGTCAAACGCCCTCAGCATCCCTTGTTTGGTTTTCCCCTGTCACTTGACCTCAAGTCATGACAATTGTCATCCCGCTGTCAAAGGACTGCACCAGTTGCAAACTTAGAGGCATTGGTTTCAATAGCAAAGGGTTGGTCAGGATCTGGCATGCGCAGCACTGGCACCTTGAGGAACACCTTTTTGAGAGTTTTGAAAGCCTTCTGCTAGTCAGGTCCCCATGTCTAGGCAACATTCTTCCGAGTAAGAGCGACCAGCAGTTGCGCCTTGTCCGAGAAGCCTTTGATGAACCACTGGTAAAAGTTCCCGAATCCAACAAAGGCACATACTTGCCTGAGATTGGATGGCACTGGCCAGTCTGCAATGCCCACTAGTTTGACAGGGTCCATTGCAATTTTGCCTGGTTGGATGATCATGTCGAGGAATCCAACTTCGGTGACATCAAAGGTGCATTTCTCTGGTTTGAGGTAGAGATTGTGTTGTCGAAGTCATTCGATGACATGTCATGTCCTTTCCTTGTGTTCCACCTTGTCCTGGGAAAAGATAAGGATGTCATCCATGTAGATGCAGAGCCAGCCTTTTTCAAGCATGTCTGCGAATATTGTGTTCATCATCCACTGGAACATAGCAGGAGAATTACACAGCCCAAAGAACATCACCATTGGTTCATATAACTACAGCAGTTTACCGTCAGTTACTGGTATGATGAACGCTGCCTTCCATTCGTTCCCATTTTTGATTTGGATGTTATTGTATCCAGCGCGAAGGTCCATCTTTGTAAATACCTTGGTGTGCTTCATCTTGTCGAGGAGGTCCGATATAAGCGGAAGCAGGTATCGATCCTTGACCATGTTTTCATTCAGTAGTCAGTAGTCTTGACAGGGGCGTAGTGAACCGTCCTTTTTACCAACAAAGAAGAATGGACTTGCCAGAGGGGATTTCAAAGGGCGGATGTACCCTTTACTCAAGTTCTCTTTGAGGAACTTGTTGAGTTTCTGTTGCTGCTGTGGGTTGAGCGGATAGACTTGTTGCTTCATGTCCACAAAGCCCTCTTTGAGGTTGATCTCGTGGTTGTACTCGGTGTGGTCCGGGAGTCGTGCTGTGGTGCCTTTGTCGAAGACGGGGAGTAGATTGTGCAGGTAGGATGGTACCATCTCTTGTAGCATCTTGTCTGTCTTGCCTTGGGTGTTCGAGGCAGCAAGTTCAGTGAATGTTGTGATGCATCCAATGTCGTGGTGAACCTTTCAGATCATGCCATTGTGGAGTTGTTTATAGCCCGACAAGAATTCGGGAAGTCGCTCCTTGAGCAGGACATCCCTTACTGCCAGAGGTTCCTGTTTCTCGTACTTGGTGATCATCGGTGTTCCTGATAAGTAAGAAATGATAAACTCATCATCACCGATGTCCTCAGCTTGTTTCTCGATGGATGCAATACCCGTTGACCCAAAACTGTCCTCCCCACGTTCTGTTTCGTTGATAGAGCCGGATAGTATTACCAGTGGGGTGCTTATTCACTCAAGGATGAGCTGAGCGATTCAGTCACCAGCTTTGATGGTGAACGGGGAGTCAGAGTTATTGACCATCAGGACTAAGACCTTGCCTCGGTAGTCGATTACTCCTGCAGCAACATTGATTTCTTTTAGCACTAGACCAGACCGGGGTGCAATTCTTCCATAGTGTCCTTCGGGGATGGCCAAGATAAGGTCAGTGCCTACCAGACCACGCCGCCGGGCTGGGATAATGAGGTGGTGCACAGCAGAGATGTTGTATCCTGCTGTGCCACTAGTCTTTCGTTTGGGGAGTGTTGCATGCTCTGAGGTGGGAATAACGAGGAGTTTGTCTTCTGTTGGTTCTGGAAGCAGGGTAGTCACGGCCTTCTTCAGTTCTAGCTGAGCCACTTGCCTTTGGTACAGGTCCATCTTCCAGGCCCTGGTCTCTTCCTTTGTCCACCGATGGTTCAGTTCAACCCGTCCGGTCTTCCAGTCTATCTTGGGGTTTTTGAGCTTGAGCCAGGTATGGCCAAAGATGATGTCTTTTTTGCCAATGTTACCAATGTAGGCTTTGACAAATTGGGGTTCTCCGCTTATCTTGTACAATAAGAGGGCTCTTCATGTGATAAGCACTTCTTTGTTCAGAGTTCCGTCCACATTGAAAATGGGGATGGGTCAGGGAAGAGGTTTTGTCTGAAGCTGATGCTCTCGGACAAATCTCGGGCTGATGAAGATTCCGGTTGTGCCGCTATCAATGAAAGTGCGCGCCTCAACGTCTTTTCATCCCACAGTAATTAGAATGTGCAGAGCATGATCATTTCGGACTACTAGAATTACACGGGACAGTGAAATGGATATGGGCAGTGATTGCGTTGGCTCACCCTGCCCCTTCGAAAATCCTCCAGCATGAGTTCCTCGTACAGTTCCCGCTTCTTGTCAGCAGAGAGCACCTTGATTCTGGCGCAGAAGTCATCCTTCCCAGATCCTCCCTGGTTCGGCCTTTCACCCCCTTGTCATGCAGCCGCTTTCTTGTGGCAGTCCTTGGCACTGTGGCCCTTGATGTGGCAGTAGAAGCACAGGTTTCCATCCCTGTGGAGCTTCCAATCGGCCTCATTGAGAACGGCTCCTAGTTCCCACTTTCTTCCTCCCAAAGTGGAAGTGAAGGTTGATGCAATGGTGGCAGCGTCGATATCCATTGGTTTGCCGTAGTCCCTGGTGTCAGTGATGAGAAGGGCTCCTTTCTTGACTGTATTGGTGTTTCGGATTTTGTCATACCAATCCTTCATGGTTTTGGGTCGGTCTCTGGCGACCCTTGTTGTGAGGGAGAGGTAGAGCTCATTAGGAAGCCCCCTGATGAAGTTGGTGTGGAGAGTGTGGTAGTTATTTTTGACGTGAGTGGTTCCATTGACCTCGGTGTCCTTGAGCTGAGCCTTCTGTGCTAGCTGTTCGAAATGGGTGATGTAGTCGCCAAGGGAGAGCGCAGTCTTCTTGTCCTTCTGTCACTCTGGGAGTTTCATCAGGACCTGGTGTGCTTTGAGTCGTGTCCCGTGCTCAGGGAATGCTTGTTCAAGGGTGTCGACGAAGCCTGCCCAAGTGGAATAGACCTGGGTTCCCCCTGCCGACTTTTCGTAGTACACATCTACCCACATCTTCCCCAGGTCCTTCCTCATTAGTGCTACAGTGAAGGCGATCTTGGCTTCATCGCTGAGTGCGGTGTTGTTGGTAGTGACAAAGTAGGAGAGGACGCATTGGATAAAGTGTCTGAGGTCCTCGGCCTTTCTACTGAAGGGTTCAGGAGCAGGGATGTTGAGACAGAGGGGTCAATTGGCTGTTATCTGTGGGAACTGGTATGCTGCGAGAGCAGCAGCGATGCACTGATCAAGGTCTGCCTGAGTGAACATCGCCATGGGGAGTTCAACTGGTGCATTGGTTGGTGCGAGTGGAGCTGGTAGTGGTGAAGGTTCAATGCTAGGAACCTCGACAGAGTTGTATTGTACCTCAGGGAGTTGGAACAGTTGGTTGTTGGTGGGTGATCATAGTTGCTCGGTTGTTCGGCTAGGTTCTATGATAGAAATGCGTAGGAGGGTGAATATGTCTTCTGATCGAGAGGGTGGGTGTCTCTGGTAGTATTCAACAAGCTTCTGGTGTGCGACGACTTGTGGGTTTGGGCCAGTTGCGCGAGACCAACTGCTGGCTTGGGGATAGATGGGGGCACTTTCTACAGTTGTAATGAAACAGCGGTCGGCTAGGTCATACTGCAGGAGAGGAGATCCTATGAGGGCTGGTAGTCCCAAAGAAACTGGGTTGACTGTGTTGGTCAATGTGGTGGTGAATGATTTGTTCAACTAGGTAAAACTAGGAACGTAGCTTATAAGTTTGACCTTTTGATACAATGGTCTACACTCCTATGTTGATTCCTGACTCGTAGATAACAAGTGAGGGCTTATGGACAGTGCATTGTCCGGAAGATCGAGCAAGGAAGTTGAGAATAACCACTACCCCAAGTGAAGAGAAGCAGAGACTTGAATTGGTAGCCAGGTCAAACTTAGGGTTCAACCAACTAATGGTACAACTATTTATACAAGTACTGGCTACACACGGACCATCGTGTCTATGTGGTCATGTTAGTAAAGAGAGAAACATAGTGGTACGATACCAGATATGAAGTGCACATGGACCCCATTATGTAAGCTACATAATGTTCAACCTGTGGGTGAGCACTAAGATGGGCACCAGTATGGGTGTTAGTAGTACAAGAAATAGAATGGAAAGACAAATGTTTCAGTTTTGTCCTGGGGTTAAACGTGAAAGTGAAAATAGATAATGTCATCCAATTACGTGATCTGGTCATTTCACCTACTACATCTGTCAAAGGTGAAAGACACCAGTCCACACAATTAGAAACAGCCCTCCCTCACCATGGATTGTTTCAAACATCTGACCACTGACTTTTGGGCCTAAACAGAGCCTATGAAAAATGCATCCAGCAAGTTATATCATGTTTCCTTAGCTAGCCAGCCTCAGTGAACTTTCAGCTTAATGTGTGCTCAAAATGTGCTTGAAGTGGTGATTATGTCATACAAGCACCCCTGAAGGGTCTGCTGGTGTACATTCAAAGCAATATTACATTTTGAAACATTTGTCTTTCCGTTCTATTCCTTGTACTACTAGCGCCCATACTGGCGCCTGTCTTAGCGCTCACCCGCAGGTTGAACATTATGTAGCTTACATAATGGGGTCCGTGCGCACTTCGTGCCTGGTATCGTACCACTACGTTTCTTTCTTCACTAACACGACCACATAGACACGATGGTCCGTGCGCAGTCGGTACTTGTATAAGTAGTTGTACCATTAGTTGGTCGAACCCTAAGTTCGACCTAGTTATTCATTCAAGTCTCTGCTCCTCCTCGCTTGGGGTAGTGGTCATTCTCGACTTCCTCGCTCGATCTTCAGGACGACGCACTGTCCATAAGTCCTCGCTCGTTGTCTACGAGTCAGGCATCAATATAGGAGTAAAGACCGTTGTATCAAAAGGTCGAACTTTCTAAGCTACGTTCCTAGTTTCACCTAGTCGAACAACTCATCCACCATCACGTCGAACAACGCAGTAAACCCGGTTCCCTTGGGACTACCAGCCCTCGCAGGATCTCCCCTTCTCCAGTACGACCGAGCAGACCGTTGCTTCGTCACCACCACAAGAAGGACTCCCATCTATCCTCGAGGCGGCTCCTGGGTTCGCGCAGAAGGTTCCAACCCGCAGATTGTCGCCCACCAACAGCTCGTCAGCTATTACCAGAGACACCCTCCCGCTCACCCAGAAGACGTATTCGCCATCCTACGAATCAACGTTGAACCAGCACAAACAACAGAGAACCTACAGTCACCTGTTAACGAACAACCGTTCGAGCTCCCGGACGTTGATAGGCGCCGAGCCCCGCTGGGCCCCGATACACCTCTTTCCGGCACTTCGACTCAGTCTCCCAACAGTTCGATTTCGCCTTCGACGCTCTTCGACACCTTCGACGATGCGCGACGCTCACTCGAAGCTCGGCACGGTCGTCCCGATGCCTCGCGCGTAGATCCCGGAACATCTCCCGCATTCGGCGAACAATAGGGCCACTTGACGCCGCTCGGCCAAACGCGCGCTTCGCTCCAAGCCACACCGAAGTAGCCGGTCTTTCCCGATTAGGTATCGAACCTCGCGGCATGCCTTCAACGACGGATACCGGTCCGAAGTGGCCATATGTTTCTCTTCATCTCCGCGTTCGGCATGACGTCACTCTACCGATGGACTTGGTATGTGCCCCTCGGTGAGGCAGCTTCTTGAGGAACAATGCAAAGCCCCTTGTACTAGTGTGCCACTTTCGATAGTCGTAGCGTCCTGTGTAGTATAAAATCTGTCGTACTTCTCT